GCTAATTAAATATCTCTCTAAGAATCTCGTTCAGAGCTATGTGGGTGAGTCATAACAGACTAAATAAATTTCAATACATACTTCATACAGGTTATCTGTCAGAACCTAATTCTAAATCATATAGATATTGATGAGGAATATTACAACGCATTTAAAGTGCTCCATAGAAGTTGCATGATATTTTCAAGGAGTGTGATACAATTTCGTTTTCTTTTGGTCTATTTATGTACGCGTATAAATGCAGCCTTTTGGCGTCATGGGCTGTTCCGGCGTATCGATAAACCCGAAGATCATAAACGGTATTTTCTTAAAATTTAATATAGAACAGAGGTATCGATTTTTACTTAATATCTAGTATATTTAATGACTCTACCATTTAAAACTTTATACCTCCATATTTTTTTATAATAGAAAGAAGAAGATGTGGTATGAGTGCCAATGAGAAAACTCTCCATCCAAGTCACAATGTGTAAAAAGTAAACAGTTATAGGTCAAAGTACGGCCTTCAACATGGAGCCTTGGCTCACACCGAACAGCAAGCTATAAAGGGCCCCAAAATGACTAGTGTAAAACAATTCAAACAGGAATACCAACAGTCTAATCTATATAAACAACGAGAAAACTATCACCCAAAGTTCAAATAAAGTGGATGTAAGCAATTATAGGCAAACGTACGGCCTTAAACAATGAGAAAAACCCATACTGTATAGTCGGCTATGCACGCTCCAAATGAATCAACTTAACGTAGTTTTTATATGTAGTAAATTGTGCGTATACGTTAGATAGTAATTTCAAAGTTTGCGGATTGCATCAACATAAAAATGATATTATGAAAATTTATTCCCCTATTACTTCATTAGTTTACAACACTTTTAAATAGCGTCTTCAAACATATATTAGATAATTACATAACTATGTAATGAAGTATTGGCGCGAAAATTTTGCCAGAATGTATTCATTGGATTTGGCAAATAAAACAGATGTATTGCAATGGAAACTTTGAAATTACTATCTAACGTATACGCACAATTTACTACACATAAAAACTACGTTCAGTTGATTCATTTGGAGCGTGCATAGCCGACTATACGGTATGGGTTTTTCTCATTATTGAAGGCCGTAACGATTGTCCACTTTATTTGAACTTTGGGTGATAGTTGTCTCATTGGCATTCATACTTCATCTCCTTATATTTATAATGATAATAACATATAGACGCCGTCGGAATAATTGTCAAAGTCTGAATAAATTGGAAAAGATGTAATATGATATTGATGTACATGGTATATCATTCTCATGCAACACTGTGCAGTTAAATAACAAATTTCCCAAGTCAGGAGCCTGTAGTTCAGTGGTTGCCGTTGGTTCATGTCTGTCCCATTTGTTTTTTCGTTAGTTGTTTTGTTATAAATTAGGCCGTTGGTTTTCTCGTTTGAATTGTTTCACATTTTTCACAGTACTCTGGTGTATAGTTGTCTCATTGGCAATCGTACCACATCTCCTAATTTTCAGATTATGACCTTTTGTGGTATGTCAATGTTTTTTGGCATATGAGAAATTTAAAAATTTTCGATTGTCTCTGAGATTTATTCACAATTTTTGGACTACGTGTCAGTTAGAACTAAACACATTGTAAAGACATCTGCTTATTGTTGAAGACCACATACTGAACTCTAGATGTCTTTTGGTATTATGTGTTGCTGGGTTTCTGGCTCATTGACATATACTTAACTTCTTTTTTCAATTCATAAACATATAATTTTATATATGCTTAAATTTAAGTGTGAGTAGGAGATTTTGAAATACTTTCAATCTGATTAAGATTCAGACCTATATTAACTCGCATGCTCGTACATATAAGTATAGAACTATAACGAAATCAGAGAACTATATTTTGATTAGATAATTATATATAAAAATACATTGTATTTAAAGTATCATTTAAATGCTTTGAAGACATATATTTGTATCATCTTTGTAATTTTGATAAAATATTGGTGGGTGTTTCATTGAGTATATCATCATACAATAACACAATTTATCTACTATAACAATTGTGTTTATTTTGGTTTAGTTTAAACATATTTTATTTGCAAAAGTAGTTTCTTTTGGTAATGGTTTTATATATTTCATTGTATATATTATACGCAAAAGATAAAAGTTTGTTTTCAACAAGAGTTTTATTTTAGTATTTTTATTTAAACAAGATTGATCTTTTGTCAACGATCAGTTATAAATGTCTCATCACATACAACGCTAAGCATGATAATCGGTTATCCACTTTCGCGGTTTGTAGACAGTGTTGAGCACTCGCAAGTATATATGTTTTACCCCCATAACATTCTTTATGGATATAAAATACTGAGATGTGGTATGGTTGCCAATGGGACAACTATCCTCCATAGACCAAATGCCATAGATGTTACCAACTATGCGTCAACATACGGCCTTCAACAATGAACAAAACCCATACCACAAAGCAAGCTATAAAAAACCCGACGTAATAAAATTTAAAACAATTCAAACCAGAAACCGAACGAACGGCCTGATTTATGTACAAAACAACAAACTAAAAACAAATATGATATACAGCAACAAACGATATCCAGCGAATCACAAACTTGGAACAGAAGCATACATAATGTGGCTTGGTAAAACATGTTAACGGACGCGAAACCCTTCCCCTAACCAAGGACAGTGGTGTCAAAACTCATCAGGTATAAAAGGCTTATAATTTGGTACGCCAGACGCGTAACAGTTCAACATAAAAACAAACTATAAAAATCAGTTGTACAGGGCGTTTTGTTTACATTGTATAACTAAATAGTTTCTGTAGCTTTTGACGTGGAGACTACATGGGCACCACCCTTTAACATACCCTTTTCACCAACCAACTCTCTCTCGTACTAACTGACCTTGGCCAAATACCAAAGATCTAGTGCTCTACCCTGCTCTACGGCTCTATACTGTTTTCTTATCATCATTATAACACTACTCCTAGTGCATTATCAAAATAAATAAATGCAAAACAGTAATGTATTAGTAACATGAGTAATGTATTAGTAACTTCGCATGAGTAATGTATTAGTAACATGAGTAATGTATTAGTAACATGAGTAATGCACACATGTATACTAAAATGATGTGGTTCGTGTTCATCATAAATCATGGTGTATGTTGAATCTTTTTGAATGAAATATTCATTTGTGAATGAATGAATTTGACATTAGACAACGGTTTAGGGGGCAGGGGCCGGGCTCCCTTTTGGAGCTACATTTTTTACAAGTATCAATCAAAACGTTGGCTTGACAGCTAGCCCCCACCCCCACACACCTCCACCCTTTTCAAAAACCTGGATCCGCACACAGGGATTTGTTACAATTTGCCGGGTTTACTATAGTAAACCCGGCAAATTGTCGGGGTTCGTATGTCATTGGACGTTAAACACACAACAATCAATCAATCCCGGCAAACTTAAGCTTCTGTGCGAAGGAGACACGTCAAATGTACACCCCTATAGGTACTATATCGTCAGCTGATGTTGCTTCATCTAATGTGTGCTTTTATTATCAGCAGGTGAGTAATCTATACCTTACTGATTTAGATGCTATTAGCATGATGTTGTACTTTAAAATTTTCTAACTTCAAGTAAGTTATATCTTTTTAAGTTGTTATTTATAACATACTAGCCGATTAAAAAAAAAGAATTAATTGTTAAGATATATTATTTATTCAAATGTTCTCTTATATCCTTGAGGCATCGTCCCCTGGTATCAACTGCATTCAAGTTACCTATGACGCTTCCTTGTTTGCTTTTGATACAGGTAGGAAAGAGACATTTACACACATTTTACATGCCTATGGCACCAAAAAGTATCGCCCCTGGTGTCAGCTGCCTTTAGGAAACCATAATACTTTCCTATTTGCTGCTGACACAGGATGAGTCATGGACATGCTTTATTTCTACTTTCTTTTTGGCTAATTATTATATGTTTAATTGATCCAACTTATTGTGTACTATACATATATGGATTTCTATTTTTCTTTTTTCTTTTTTGGGCTGCTTGTTTGTTATCTATATCAACCACACTTGCATTAAATGCATTAGAATTAAAAAAAAAACATACTATAGATTCTTTATCTACGTATTCTTTAAGAACATAAATAGTTCTCATTAATCTTTTTTTTTATCTCATTGTTTGTATTGTATTATAAAAAAAAATATTGATGTTGTAATGTTTATGCCCTTTGGGACCCATAATTGGAAATAAAAATATCTTATCTATAGCTGTTGTGCATAATTTTCTCAACTTCTACAGTGGCGGATCCAAAGGGGGGGGTTCCGGAGGGTTGGACCCCCCCTTTTTTTGACGATCAATGCATTTGAATGGGGACATGTAGTTGGAACCCCTCCTTTATCCTGGGTTAGGACCCCCCCCCCCTTTTTATAAATGGCTGGATCCGCCCCTGTTCTATGTTTTAAGATAGAATTTATTTTGCGTGCAATTTGATATAATTATAAAAATATAACTATTGACGATGAGTATTGTTTCATTTTACCTTTTATTTGATACAGGACACGAAAAATTGATATTCTGCCGACCTCGTTTAATTTTAAGGACAATAATTCAGGGCTGCCAAGTTAAATGCGTGAGACGCGTGAGACTCACGCATTTTCATGCATATTTGGCGGCACTTTCCTTTGATCTATTGTTTTTTCTCTTTGATCTTTACAATTTTTGCCAAATCTCACGCATTTGCTTCAAGAAAACTTGGCAGTACTGCAATATTCCTATTTAATATTTTTTTGTCAATGTTTAACATAAAGCAGGTCTCCAATTTGTAATGTTCTTTAAGCTGTCTTATATGTTCTTAGTGTATTATTATGCTTTTGTAGCAAAAATAAAGCCTGTTTGCTAACTAAAGACTTAAATTCAGGGGAGAGAAACAGGTTAAAAGGCGGGAAGTTTGTAAAAGTTAGTTCCCTTTTTAAAACATCCGCCTTCTTTATTTGTCGTCTGCATTTTTTAAGGAAGATGTCAAAGATCATATGCTAAAGAATTTAAGATGGTAAATATGTCATGGTCATGATTTTCAAGTAGAGCACAATAAAAATACAAATCGGGTACAGGTAAAAGAAGTTAAATTCGTTTAGAGGGCAGTATTACTTCCAAAATGCATTAGTCGCCGAAATGCACACGAGTTCAAGGGGATGACCATTTGATATTCCGGGAGGGGGTGTTAGGAAGTATTGATCTAGTCATTTTGGTACGGAAAATATAACTTAAAGTTGCTGTATACATGGTATAATACACTATATGACCTTTACCTCATTCTCATGTATATAGTTTTTATGGCACAAATTTCTTGCAAGTAAGTAAGTAAGTAAGTAAATTTTATTTATAGTCGGGGCATGATATGTACAATTCAACAAGGTACACATGAGCTCTGTATAGAGCTCTTAACCGACTTGATATTTAAAAACAAATAACAAATTATAAGCACATTTGACAAACTTCACATACAAATAAAAACACATGCATAAATATAAATTAATAGCTAAGCAAACATGCATAAATCAAAGCAAGCAATCTAAAAAGAAAAGAAAAGCAAATTTTGCTTTAACTGTCATAAAGACAAAAGCTAAGCAAATAAATAAAATGTTCCGAAAGTTGCATCTCTATGGCTGTCTCAAAAATTTTGGATATTGAAGGAAGTACACTCACTGGTATGTAATTACCCTTTTCAAATACACTGTTTTTTTTATGAATTGGTGCCACCTGGGCAATTTTGAGTGAGTCTGGAAAGACTGAGGTAGACAATGACAAATTTACAAGATCAGCTATTGGCTTCGTAACTACAGGTTTAGCATATAGTGTAACAGTTTTGGTGATATTCCGTCAATACCTGTTGCTTTTTTGACATTTATTTTATTTATTCGTTTCAAAACAAAATTTTCATTAACTGGTTGAAAACTTAGTGCTGATGATGACAAATCTGTATATATATTTTTTTTATAATTGCATCAATACTTGGATGTTTTTCATCGATAACGATGTCGTTATCTCCAATGTTCTTAGCTACATTAACAAAGAAATTGTTAAATGTCTCACAAATTTCATACATGTATGTCCTATGGCAAGTCTATTACCATATATATTTGGTATACATGTATGCCTTTGACCATAATTATCATGGATCAGTGATCAAGGTTAAGTTTTTTGTTTTCATTAAATTTAGTTGGTATCTCAGAAACCATTAATTTTTTAAAGGTAAACTATTGTTGCAGTGTACAGAGTGATAGTAAGTTTTTCATGTACGGCTCAGTCTGGCAGAGTTTATCTGACCTTGAACTAATTTTTTTTGCTCATTGGCCAATGGTAAGTTTTTGTTGTTCGGAACTATCAGAAACTAAATATAACACTGTGTTAGTCTCAGGTCTGTTTCTCATTATTTTAGAAATTTTATGTTTGGAATGACTAAGGTGGCAGAGCTCAGTCTGACCTTGAACTTATTTTCATGGTGAATTAATTGATCAATGCTTAGATTTCATGGTTAAGTCAGGTTCTCCAAAATTGTAAGCAATCATTCAACTTTATTCGGTGTATGGATTGAAAGCAAGGTGTACATAAAATTTAGAATGGAAATGGGGAATATGTCAAAGAGACAACAACCTGACCAAAGTGCAGAAAACAGCCAAAGGCCACCAATGGGTCTTAAACACAGCGAGAAAATCCTGCACCTGGAGGCGGGCTTCAGCTGGCCCTTAAATAAAAATGTGTACAAGTTCAGTGAAAATGGACGTCATACTAAACTCCAAAACATATCAATGAACTAAAATTAAAAATCATACAAGACTAACAAAGGCCAGAGGCTCCTGACTTGGGACAGGTGCAAAAATGCGGCAGGGTTAAACATGTTTTGTGAGATCTCAACCCTCCCCCTATACCTCTAGCCAATGTAGAATAAACAAACACACAGCAATACGCACAGTAAAACTCAGTTCAAAAGAAGTCCGAGTCTGATGTCAGAATAGGTAACAAAAGAAACTAAGCAAAATGACAATGATACTTAAATTAACAAAGGACTACTAGCAGTTACTGACATGCCAGCTCCAGACTTCAATCAAACTGATTGAAAGATTATGTCTTCATCATATGAAAATCAAGCACAATCCCTCCCATTAGGGGTTTAGTATCATGCCATCATAAAATTCAGTTCAAAAGAAGTCCGAGTCTGATGTCAGAATAGGTAACAAAAGAAACTGAGCAAAATCAATGATACTTAAATTAACAAAGGATTACTAGCAGTTACTGACATGCCAGCTCCAGACTTCAATTAAACTGATTGAAAGATTATGTCTTCAACATATGAAAATCAAGCACAATCCCTCCCATTAGGGGTTTAGTATCATGCCATCATAAAATATATGAGAAGAACATAACCCATATCATGCCAACAACTGGTTTTAGAACAAATGTGTTTATTTCCAATGCATGTCTGTATGGCATTTTCATTTGACTTTGACCTTTTAAACTCATTTTATACATTTATCATTGATAAATTTCAAAATAAGGAGATGTGGTATGATTGCCAATGAGACAATTATCCACCAAAGTTCAAATGAAGTGGATGTAAGCAATTATAGGCATCTGCTATAAAAGTCCTTGACATGAAAAATATGGGCTATTTAAATGATAACTTTCCTTTAAACCTTTGTCAGTCTCTTGTATAATACTATATGTGATGTTTTTATGTCAGATAATGTATTATGATAAGTTGGTTCTTACTACCAAAGATGGTAGCAGTATTGTGCTCTGTTTAAAAAATGCTGTTTAGTCAGAAGTTCTTATTGTAATCATAGTATTCCAGTAGTAGAACTTCAAGGTCATCTGGATGCACCTGTGCCAAGCTTATAATGATACTAAACAAAAAATATAAAACATGAAAGATGTGGATAAACATGTTATTTCACCTACAAAGACATTTTTGGCAACAGTTGAACAGACTGACTTAATTTACTGACATTTTATTTTTTACACAAACTTATTTGACTTACCTTATGCTGTTCATAAAAATGCAAATAGATCATAGATGGAAGAATTGAACAAGAAATCACAGTCAAGATATAATAGTTTGATGAGAGATATACTGTTTGGTATTGTATCTGCACTTATTTTTTTTATATAATCAATGAATGCACATGCTTTCTTGTGAATGTCACACTAAAAGCGTTACACTCCTGACATTTTTGGGCACATTTTTGGATATTATTTTTTAAACAGAGCACATACTGCTACCATCTTTGGTAGTAAGAACCAACTTATCATAATACATTATCTGTCTGACATAAAAACATCCCATATATAATATTATTCAAGAGACTGACAAAGGTTTAAAAGAAAGTCTTTTTTTAGCCAAATTGTAAATATGTAAGAAATATATAGAAATTTTAAACCAGTACTTCTTAAATGTGCACCAAAATTATATGTTTAATATAAATTAAGGCTCTACATAATTTCAGATCAGTTTTAGGTTAAAATATGGTAGCAATAGATTATGGTCAGGAGTGTAAGATTTGTTACACTCCTGACTAGTTTCTAATGTAGCTATCTAAAACAAAATTCAACATGACTCCTTTAAAACAATAATTGTAACATCTTTATAGTTACTGAAAAAGTATGTCAGGAGTGTAACAAAAGGATCAAAAACATATATATATATGTATTTTTTAACTGGAGAAAGTTTGAAATTGACTGAAGCACTTGGTGTGAAATTTTTAAAGGATGTAATGAGATCATATATGTTTGATTTCTTATAAGTTTTATCATGTTTGTATAAAGTTTAAACTTTTGCAATGAGATATAAAAACTTTTTGTTATTAGATATTAAAGAATAACATTGAAAATTGGTGAAATTTACATATTTAAAAAAAAATTCCCTCTATCATACGAGTAAAAAATGGTAGAAAAATTAACTATTATCTTTAATTCAACAAAAAAAAAATTTACATTGATATTTATACGTATTTGTGTTTGTAAGTTGATTATAGTATGTTGTTGATTCCTTTAAAAAATTGATGAATTCTTATGAGTAAAAGGTTGTAAAAATATTAGTTTTCACTTTTTTCATTAACCCCAGCTGGTAGTGGTACTCACTGTTTTTGTATACTGTAAATTCAGAAATTATTGCGAGGTATTTATTAATGCAAATAATGCTACTGAATTATTAGTATAGCAATAATAAGAACTCACATTCTGATATCTGATGCATATATCTGTATGCAGCTTTTCCTGAAATTGCAATAATTAATCTCGCATTTATATCCATTCTTCAAAAATGGCAATAATAAATGCAGGCAATAATTTCTGAATTTACAGTACTTGAATGTCTCTGGATTAAAGTAGAATGGTAGAAAATAGATTTGCAATGACTTAATTTTTTACCATGTTTGTCACACTTTATCATCATTTTTTTTTTAACAATATGAAACAATTCAATTGATGAAATTAAACGGCCTAATTTATAACAAAACAGTTTACTAAAAACAAATATGACAAACATGAACCAACGTCGACCATGCACTGAACTCAAAAGTTCAGTTTATGTTATACTTGTACAAAATGTAGTTAAACCATTAATTTAACATAGTTTATCATTTATATCAAGACTTTTTAACATAAATTCAATTATACCAGTAAAGCAGGCAGATGATATTACAGCATGTGCAAACTTGTTTTATTATTTTAAGAAACCATGCTATCTATTATTTATGTTTATATTAGGTCAGATGTCCATCAGTAGACTTCAGTGGTCATCTTGATGGTTAATAACATTTTATGTAACGTTATTAACCATCCCTGTAACTGTATTGTTTGACCTTAATGCATAAATGAACAGTACTATACAAATACACAAAAACATCCAAAGACTTTCCAGTTAATATATTAAAGATGATATTTATTTTTTGGTTCTCTTAAATTAATTTGTTGCATTATAATATATAGAAATAAGAAGATGTTGTATGATTGCCAATGAGACAACTTGAGATCTCCACCAGAGACCAAATGACATAGAATTTCAACTGTTTAAACAACTATAGGTCACTGTATGTCCATAATTAAACTGTTTGAGTATAAAATACTGTAGTTCAGTTAAATATATTATTTTCAGTTCAATGCTGCAACCAAACTACTGGAAGTTAACGCACTCATTAAAGAGAAAGAACTACGGAAAGCTAATGAAAAAAAAAAAAGGGATCAAAGACATGCTCAAAATCCGAAAGATGAAAGAAACCCAATACCAGAGACAGCGCACAAATCTCCTGAGAAAGTGCACAAATCTCCTGACAAAGAGCAAAAATCTCCTTTGAAGGAGCTCAAATCTTTTGAGAAGGAGACCCACTTGGGTCATACTTTTAAACAGTTAATGACCTCTCTCGATGCCAATACAAAAATATTGGCACAAACCGTTAATTTTTTACGACAGGCACAACATCCAGTCAACGAAGGAACTGATCGACCTGTATCAAAAATTCAGACTCACCATTTATCTGAGGACGATCATAGAAAAGACAAAAGGAAAGAGAAGGTCAATATATATATATAGAATGAATTAAATTATTTATAAACTTAAGTTATATATATATATATATACAAGTCTAAATTGAAAACAACGTTCAAACCTATATATATGACTGTATTCAGATAAACTTCAAATTACATTCTTTTTTTTAAATTTCAAAATATAGATCATTAATCTCAGGTGTACCAATCTGGGTGCTTCCAAAACCTTTAACATTTTTATCTTTAAAATTTATGAATTGATTTCTTTGAAATTTTGTTTAATACGTTGAATATAAAGGTCAAGAATTGTCCTAAACACTAATTTTACAAGTATATAAAAAAAGATGTGGTATGATTGCCCATGAGAAATCTATCCACTAGAGTTAAAATGAAGTGGATATAAGCAATTATAGGTCACCTAAAGGCCTTCAACATTGAGAAAAAGGCCCTGATATGAAAAATGTGAAACAATTCAAACCAGAGAAATAATGGCCTTATTTATTGCAAAACAATTTATAAAATACAAATATGACAAACATGAACCACTGGCAACCACTGAACAACACTCGACAGTCTATTGACTTGGGACAGGCACATATATTAAACATGTTAAAAAAAATTGGCGGGTTAAACATGTTTTTCAGTGCTTTAATATCACTCCCCTAACCTGGGATAGTGGTGTAACAGCACAACATAACATAAGAACAAACTGACGAGTAAAAAATGTTTTGATGAACTAGCACAAAACTGTTATAGAGAGTATTTTCTCTTTGTTTAAACAATTCAGTCTTTTATTTGTAATATTTGCTAAGCCTGGGAAACACAGGATATTTTAATGAAATGTTTGAGATTGTTTGTATTCTTATGGGCAAGGATCAGATAAATAAAGACATGCCCAAACATTTCTTTTGATCATTTTTTTTTTACTAATTAGGCCGTGCAAAAAAGATTGTTGGTTTCCCCTAACAGATGAAAAAAAAGAGCAGGACGTTCTTTTAAGACAATTAACAATGATGCTTTAATTGTCTAATAATTTCTAAAAAAAAGGTTTCATTTATCAATTTTAGCTCACCTGGGCCAAAGGACCCATAGGGCCAAGTGAGATTTTCTCATCACCTGGCATCCATTGTCTTCGGCCCTCGTCGTTGTTGTCCGTTAACTTTTACAAAAATTTTCTCCTCTGAAACTGTTGAACCAAATTTAACCAAACTTGGTCACAATCATCATTGGGGTATCTAGCTTTCAAAATGTGTTTGATGACCCTGCCTGACATCCAAGATGGCCGATAGAACAGAGGGGTAAAATGCAAGTTTTGTTTTTTATTTTGAAAACCATTATAAAAGGAGAAAATCTGACTGAGGCAGAAATGTTCAAAATGTTGAGCTCTACCAATTGTCCATTTGTGTCAAAACTGTCAGGGGACTAAAAAAGTTTTATTGCCCATAAATAACAAATTTTATCATCTTTTTCATTTTTGCCTATTATCATGATTATCTTGAAAACTATGATAGATATAGAGAAACTTTAGATTGCAAAAATAATCAGCAAGAAAAGATCTACAAACAAGTTTAGCATGGTCGAAATCATTGGTCTACACCTTATAAGAGTTATTGCCCTTTGATGTCGATTGTTACCAATTTTTTGCGTATTTGCCTTATATCTTAAAAATTATGATCTAGATAGATAGAAACTTAAATAAGCAAAAATGATCAGCTAAGACATTATGGAGGAAATCGTCTGACGACTCCTGTTTGGAGTTATTGCCCTTTAATGATGATTTTTACCAATTTGTTTTCGTTTTATGATAAAAATTATAATACCGGTAGATAAATAGAAACTTTGAATAACATAATTGATCACTAAGGCAATTTAAGATCTACAAACAAGTCAAATTTTCCGATATAGTTAGTAGACTGTCACTCTTTATTGGAGTGATTGCCCTTAAAACAGGCTAAAATGAGGGTTTTTTACCCTCTTTTGTGTTTTGAGCAAAACTAAAGAAGATAGAGAGGAACTCTAAATAGACAAAACTATCATCAATACAAGATCAACAATTTTTTTTTTCATGAATTCTATTTCCTGTCTGCAATGTTGTAGAGAGTCCTTAGTTTGATATGCACATAGACCTTAGGTGAGCGGCACAGTCTATCTAGCCTCTAGTTAACATTAGTTAATAAATTGGTGAAGATTGACGGGCCGACGGCTGCCAACAGTTTTCATGCAATAACTTATGAACCGTTCAACCAATGCTTTTATAATTTTAATACATAGACATACTCAATACTAATGACAAAATGGGGGTCAGAGTGAGTGAATTCCATATTGATGATTTTCACTTTTGCTGTCCAGGAGTAAAGGTTCTTGATAGATTGTAAAATGGCAGTTTAATTATGTTGTTTCAACCAACGAATGCTCTTAAAATTTTAATATGCTGTTACTGATGTCAAGATGGTGGTCAAGTTGGATATTTATGATTTTCGTTTCTGTCATTCAAGAGTTACGGTTCTTGATAGATTGGAAATTTATTCATTATGTTCTTTCCGTGCAATTACTATAAATGAACCATTCAGCCAATGCTCTTAAAATCTTTTAAATATGCACCCGTACAGAAACTGCTAACAAAAGCACATAAGTTTCACATGTGAATCACATAAGATGCAAGTAAGAATTGTATGCAAATTAGACCACTCACATGTGCAGTTTGGTATTTCATATGTGCCCAAAAAAACCTAACATGATGTGCAATTCAAACCTCATATGAGCTTTTATCATCTATGTTAGTTTTATGTTAGTTTTGTACTTAGAAAAGTTCTTCAATTCTTCTAACCATTTAAAACCAACTTAGATCATTGCTCATATGAGCTTTTTCAAACTGACATGCCCAGTTTATATACTTCCTGTAAATTCAAATTTGCAGGGAGAAGGAGATGAAAAGTGTTAAGCAATATTATTGTTCTATTTAAACTATCAATTTATGGCATTGTTTTGAATCTGATATTAGTTAAATCTTTGTAAGTTATCATTTTTATTTCATTTTTGTTTCAAATTCTAAAATATATTACAATTTGAAGTCCTTTAAGGAAATGCGTGTTTCAGATAAGTTATATGTAGATAAATTGTTTGAAACTTTTTGAAATTAAGCACTGTAAAAGACAATCATTATATATATGTACTAAATTTGTAAGTCACGCAGCACTTAAGTTTCATAATTATGTAATGTAATATTTTTAGTCATTATTTTTTAATAAAAAAAGGACAAATAATATAAAATCTTAACTCAGTAATTAACAATAATAAATAACATATGATGTGTTATTTAAAAGTATTGCATTTATTTTATGTCCAACTATTCAAGATCTTCATTTTGGAGCTTATCCTGTTTTTACTTAGCAGCCATTTTGATTTGGCCTGTAGGCACATTCATTTGAGTCATGATCACCATCTGGAGATAATTAGATAACAAAATCAAATGGGCCAACTAAATTTCACATGTGCAAAATGTGAGCAGCTTCTTATATGAGCAATCTGATAAAATGCACATGTGAAACAAAAAAGCTCACATGAGCATTTGCAAGTGAGGTTTTTAACATACAAATTAGGTTAGTTTTATGTGCAATTTTTGTGCTCACAAAATGCTGACCTAATTTGCATGTTAAAAACCTCATGTGCAATCATGTTATTTTCTAACGTTAGATCTAATGTGAGCATCTTATGTGAAACTTGTTAAGCTGCGTAACCGTTTGGTCAGGGCTGTTACAGTGTGATCGAGTGTTGCAAAATGGTGGTCCAATTTGATATTGGCAATTTTCAAGAATTTACTGTCAGTGGTTTTAGAAAAAAATCTTTATAGAACAAAACTGCATGTGCCTTGTTTGATTTTTTGCCAAAAAAAATATAGTGAAGTCATTAATAAGTTTAACAGAAAACACAGAGATCTGCAAACAGAATACTTTGAATGTCAGAAGTGATTGCATGTTTATGTAAAGCAATAAGATGTTAATAATATATAAAGAAGCACTGAAGGGTTCCCCTAGCTACCAATTGACAGGCACATTAACATGTCCATTTCAGAGTTCTTTAAATGTTTTTTTCCTGGTGGTCCTTAAAGAAAACCTGCTGGTCCTCACTTTAATATTTCTATTGCAAAATACTAAAATTGTGTCAGTCCTTTGCAGAATTTTGGTGGTCAAAACCTTCACACCACCACTTTTGGAGAACTCTACCATTTTAAGATGACATATAATGATTTGCGTGCTGTGTCAGTGATTTCAAAGGTCATAGTTTATATATTTTCAGATGGTGGTTGAACTCCGATTGACATTTATGAAGATCACCGACATAGATACAGTTACTCAGCAGTTTGAAGCTGAAATTCTGGTCAGAGCAAAATGGATGGAACCATTACTCAGTGGCAAATTTGATATTGTATGTTCATTGTATTTCTGTTTTACATGAAATTTTAAAATAGTCTAAATTTACAGGTAGTTTGCTATACTTTAACAGAAGTGTCCCTTAAGCAATTTCTAGGCATGAATAACATTTTGAATGTTTAATTTTTAACAAATGTAAAAGTTGCAAATCTTGGGATGTGTCGTGATTTATTTTTACTCTGTGATAATTGAAGAAAAGTTTAATCAACTATTCTGTGGACCCTGTTGAATGAAACAAATTCTATAAGGAAAAAAAGCTATGATTCCTTTTACAAATTCTGGAATATATTTATCACAATGAAAATGAGCGTTTTCTGGAACTGTTCATCAAAGATCATAATAAATCATCAATGCTTTGGAGGAAAATGCAATGTCTGCACCCTTCTATTCTATAAATTGGTTTTATTGTCAATATTGATTGAGGCATTTTATATGTCATATTGTGTAGTAATTCATACCAATTAAGTAAAGAGCATGTATATAAACATGTGAGTCAGACTTAAAACTCGTCTTACACAAATGTCTTGATCAAAGCATGGACCACATTTTCACACTGGTCAGACATCGATATGTCAACTTGTATATTTTTTAGAGGTCTGGTCAAATGTTTACTATATTGGACTCTAGTAAATAATAATAAAAAGTAATGTTCAATTATGTAAGGAAAGATATTTAAAGCAATAATTATAATGTTGTTAGTTTATGAAGCTGAAATACTAAAATATCAAATTGTTATTGTTTGACTTTAGGCCTTTGATCCACAAATAATGTGGTGTCCTAATTTGTTAGTGCTGAATCTGGATGGTGGCTTTATTATTGATAAGCACTGTTACAAAGTGGTCCATAATGCACCTGGATATAGAGCCCCATTGGTTGTCTGGTTGTGGAGATTCAAAGGATTCTTCAAGGAAAACTTAGAACTGGCACATTTCCCAATAGACGTACAGGTATAATAATAATCTGTGTACTGTTTGTTGTAAGTTTGCTCTTATATATGTCTTTACCATCACCACCCACAATCACACACACCCCTGTCCCTCCCCCACACACCCACATAAATAATAATTATTAAAGACAAGATTGAAAAAGAAATTTTAATCACCTGAAAAAAAAAAATCCTGCTATGTACCAAAAAAGACAACATTTTACTTACAAAAGGCGAAACAAGCATTTTTTTTTTTATAAAAATACTAACTCAATATACTAGCTTTCATACTGCCTTAAATAAAAATGTACTAAAGATATTTGATATTTTTAAAACTCTTAAGCACGCCATCCCCGGCTCTTCAAAGTTTTCTCAAAATGATACAAAATTAATTTGGTCCAGCCAACCATTCTTCTTAACTGGAACAGAATCTTTTTTACAGGACATTTACACATATGATTTTGACTATATTAAAAATTGTACTGGTCATTTGGTCCAGTAATGCTTATCACTTAACTGGACCAATTTTTACTGGACTTTGCCCAATGTCTGGCGACCTTGGGAATGACTGTTTTAAAACAAATACTGTAAGTTGAGAAATAATTGCAAAGTTTGTATTTAAATGTGAAAAATGTGACATTTACTGTCAGGTTTGTAATAACAAAAATAACATAATTCCAATAGTGAGTTTTCTTCAAAAAAATTTTTGCTGTCACATTTAAATCAGGTCTCACATTTTTACCAGTAATCAGTGAAAAACCATAATAAATGCATGCACTCAGTCTGCAGCGTTAGCCACTAGTCCGATGCCCCAGACTAGTAAAATTTTATTAAGACTAGTAAGTTTTTGCAAAACTTTGTTCAGCCACATAAGAAAAATGTTGGAATATTGGTCCTAGGATTAGATGTTGGAAAAGATTTTGGTACAGACTGTGCACTAATTTCTGAATTTATTGTACATTACTAATATTAAAACTAGTTGATTACTTATTAAAACTAGTTGAACTTTTTTGTTTTGTAATTTAGGACCTAACCATATCACTAACGACAGAACGATCAGACGAGGAGGTTGACTTGATTGAAGACAATAGTTCTCTAAGTGGAGTAAATACTGGTACTTTTATGGATGCACAAGAATGGGACATATATACACATGTTGAGACGTACGAGGGCAAAACAACTTTGGAATATGCGAGTGATGAGACGCATCCTATCTTTTATGTCCAGTGTAGAGTTAAGAGAAAAGTTGGTTATTTCTTGTGGAATATTGTGTTTATTGTGGTAAGTGATATTACAGATACATTTTGTGATTAAAAAAATTGAGAAGAAAATTGCCATATAAACACTTTTTGTTATATTTAATTAAATATCATCATAATCTTACTTTTTGCATCTAACGAATTTATACATTCAAGAGAATTTTAGAATCTTATGAAAAGAATTAATTGAAATTATTACATTGGTTGCAATGAATTACCATGATTTCCCAGTGAAATAAAAACTGAGAATTTCACATGTGAAATAAACTCGGTTATTCAGTTATTTCACTCTTCTGACGTTATACAACGATAGGTGTTGTCAAGACGTTGTCGATGATGTTGCATCAAAACAAATTGTGAATGCGTAAAAAAAAGATATAGATGGGCAAGGATCAGATAAGTGTAAAAAGTAACGCCCGAACATTTCTTGTGAAAATTTTCTTTACTTATGTGTGTAAATAAGAGTCAGAAACCAATACAATGTGGTGTTTGTTGTGTATATATATTATAAATAAAATCATTTATTAACTATTTGTGGTTCCATTTTTTTATTGGGTTTAATCCTGAAATATTGTCAATGTTTTTTGGCTGCCATTTTGTGACATTTGATAGGCCTTTGAGAAAATTAAATTAGAATATCACTTTGTCAAATTGCATGTTCTCCAGCTTTATTATTATTGAGAAATAATTTATGCAGATTTATTGAGAAAAAACTCTTCAAAAGTCACTGTTTGCCCATTATGCTGTCTGTCAAATATAACCTAAATTTTAACTTTGTTTTATACTGTTGAACTGTCTAATATAACCCTACAAATGTTCAGGAACCTTCAAATTAGATAATATTATCCTTTAAAACTTGCTAAGAAATATTGCATTCAGACATAGTTATTTCAAAAGACTGCATTTCAAATTTTCAAAAAGTTTTGTCTGTCAAAAAGTAAGGCAATCAAACTGTCTATATTTACATGAAAGAATGGTATATATCATCACATCATGTGCTTTGTAATTGGTTTGGGTACACATGATTACTATGTCATCGATCTATGTGTCAAAAATGGATAGTGTAACTTGTAGAAGGGTAAGTTTAGTGTCGGTCAAATATTTTTTCAAGAATAATGGGTGTTCTAATATTTAATGATTGTACAAAGTGTCTCATATGAGATACAACCACTAAATATCATGTTATGGTTATATTTAACATAGATATTGTGACAGATATTGACAATAATTGTTTGTTAAAATGAAATATTTAAATGAAAACAAGGAAACTATTTTTGCCAGTTACTATTTGACAATTAATCAACGAACGACCGTTATTGTTCGACCTCCCTGTGTAACGGGCGAACATTTGCATTGGTTTGAACAGAGAATTTCATGATACCAGTGAACTGTTATTATTCTACCCTAACATTGAAATTGTGCAATAGAAAAGCAAAGTTGATTCATTCATGCAGTTCCAATTGCACATGCAATCATATAGAACAGGTGTTATTTTTGACAATATTCCGTAAAATAATTAGTTTATAATTCCTGTTGAACTGTGTTGATATACGCAATGTTATTTAGTAGTTTGTAAGAAATGCTGGTTCTACATCTTTGATTAAGTACCAAAGTTTTGAGTACATCATTTCTTTTAAAATTCTCATGCATGAGTGCAAAATTTAACTTGTAAAATGTCAAACTGTCAAACAAAACTTCTGTCTCACTATACAAATGAATTATTATTAGTATCTATTTTCTATTGTTTTTTTTTTGGTTTCCCCTACAAACATTTTGAAGTATTTTACCAGTTCTGACTCTACAGGTGTCCAGTTGTGAGAAATTAGGTTGAAAAATAAAAAAATATACAGCATATTTTTGTGACTCCCGTTACACGGATGTGACCTGTGACTTATAAAATGTCAAACTGTCAAACAAAACTTCCATCACGCTATACAAATTAACGATTATTGATATCCATTTCCCATTGGCTCTGTGGGTTTTCACTACTACCAGTTATACAATCTTAACCATTTTGACTCTCCTGGTGTCCAGAAGATTAGTTGGAATGGAAACTAAACAAATATGCATCATATTTTTTTATTATACTTCATGTCAAAATGCAAGATTTTGATTGGTTAATACGAGGGAGACAATTTACTCTATTCCATGGTAAATACTCTATTACCCTTCACGGAGACGCTTGATCAAGTGTGCGCTTTATTAAATACGACTCTATCCTATGGCAAATACTCTATTACCCTTCACGGAGAAGCTTGATCAAGTGTGCGCTTTATTAAATACAGATGGTTGTTATGTACAAGACGTCATAGTTTTTTACTTTGAATTTGAAATTTAATCAACAGTAATAACAGAACATTCAGTATAATAAATTAAATAACACATATCTGAGAGGGTGATAGAGTAGATTATTACCCCTCGAAAAGACATTGTCAACCTTGGTTTCGCCTCAGTTGACAATGTTTTCTCGGGGTAACAATCTGCTCTATCACCCTCTCAGCTATGTGTCATTTATATAGTGACGTCCTTTACTTTTTTTTTAACCCTATTATTCTTTTTAACTTTAAACTTCCAAGATGTGCATTTTCATGAGTTAAGAACAAGAATGAAAACCATATAATTTAATTAATTTGAAATACATTTCAAATTTTATTTAATCTAAAGTTAGCATGTCAAACTTGTCAATGTAACGTCCATCACAAAAGTTGTGCCTTTGTTTGAACCAAAGAACTATCTCTATATAATCACAAAAGTGAACTCTGAAAAGTTGAAGATTCCTCTGATATATTTAAAATCTTAATATATGGGCTTAAATGTGACGGACGTTATGTCACACAAATGTTACACTTTATCTGATCCTTGCCCAGTTCCTTACATTTTCTACTTTAATTCCTTTAAAAAGTCCATTGTTAATGTAATACAAAGAATAACTAACTAAGAATTCACATATCGAAAAATATTCGACTCGTGTGACTGAACAACACTGATAATTAACTCATTAGCTATGCGCATTCGTTAATTAGTGTGTTGTTCGGTCACTCGTTGAATATTTTTCTATATTTGAATTCTTCAATTAGCTATTCTATAAACAATATGTCTTGGCCCCACTGTATTGTATGAAAGTGTCAACTTTTATGGGGAAAAATATCACTTATACTGTTGTTTGTATAACATTAAGAAAAGAGGTCCTAGGTTTGGTCTAGAAGGGCAGATTTTGAATTTTTTGACAATATTGAGTGGCTCCCATGAAATTGAACACATTTATGAAATCAAAATGATTTTCTTAATTCTAATTGATAATTTTTTTACGCCCGTTAACGGGACATATTATGGCATACCTTTGTCTGTCCGTCTGTCGTCAACATGTTGGACAATAACTCAGAAACGCTTTAACCAATTTGCAAAAAGCTTTGGTGAATTGTTTACATCTATAACCAATTTGCATGAAACTTTGGTGAATTCTTTATATCTATTGACGTGAGCTGCCTTTCGTTTTTTATAAATTTTAGATTTTAAATTTCAAAGTTATGGGGTTTTATTCATTAAAAAAGGTGGATTTTCCAGTTTTCCGACAAAAACTCAAAAACCCTTTCACCAATTTGCAAGGAACTTTGGTGAATTGTTTATATCTATTGACATGAGCTCCCTTAGGATTTTTATAAATTTTAGATTTTATATTTCCAAGTTATGGGGTTTTATTTATTAAAAAAAGGGTGATATTCCAGTTTTCGGACAATAACTCAAAAAATGCCTTCAGCAGTTTTCATGAAACTTTGGTGAATTGTTTATATTTATTGATGTAAGCTCCCTTTTGATTATTATGAATTTTAGATTTTAGGTTTCTGAGTTATGGGATTTTAAATTATTCATAAAAAAGGGGTGATTTTCCTGTTTTCAGACAATATCTTTAAAGTACTTTGAGCAGTTTTCGTGAAACTTTGGTGACAGGTTTATATCTATTAAGATAACCTCCCTTTAGTTTTTCATAAATTTCTGATATGCATTTGAGAAGTTATTGAACTTTATTCTTTTAAAAATGTGACGGGCGTATCATGCGCTCATGGCGCAGCTGTTTATTTAAAATAATTTGTGGTGGGGATGAGATATATTTTTTTGTCCAATAATGTATCATTTAAAACAAGATTTTTACACTGTTCAAAGTAAAATAAATAGTTTTTGACACTGCAAAAGTTCAAAGACAATTAAAGAACATTTTTGCAAATTCAGTTTAAGGTAGATTCATGGTATACCGCCATCTTGGATTGTACTATCGCAGTACATTATCAGTCTAGTTATTTGTCCAAATCTACAAATTTGTAGACAGATGTGCAATTTTATTGATTAGACAGTTTATATATATGAAGAAAACTTGCTGATTTATTGCATTATCCAAAATATTTTAACAAATACCAAACATTTGTGTTTTAGAATAAATTTTTTCAACTAAGCAATTTTAGGGGAGATAACTCTTTTAGTGAAAAATTTATACTGGACTGATAGGGAAATTTTTTATTTTTACTTGTAGCAAGAAAACAAGTTCGGTGACACCATTTTTTCTTTTTATTTTCTTAAAACATATTTTAAAACCTATCTTCTCACAATTTATTTCAAAATTCTATCTCATAGATTTCTTTTTATGCACAAAAATATGTTTTTTCATGATCATTCTAACCAAATTTAGGCAATTCATAGCTTGAAAAATAGCACGGTGACCCATCCTTTTTATTATATCCTGATATTTTTCGTTGATCTATTTTCAGTCATTGATCACGGTGTTAACCTTTACTACATTTTCCATTGAACCTTCCTCTGCAGATCGTCTTGGTGTGACTATAACACTACTCCTGACTTCTGTTACATTCAAACTGATAGTAAAGCAGAGTTTACCAACAATTTCTTACTTAACTTATTTGGTAAGTATCAATAGAAAAAATTCAAAAATTTGTAATCAAGTTTAAATTTTATGAAATATTTATACTTACCAGTCAGAAACATACTTTTGGATTATCTTTGTTTACTACGTTCATAACTCGCAAACACACAGATGATCTTGATTCAAACATTAACTAACCCAGATCATCCGTGTGGTTCATGCTTCAGTTTATCGGCGTGTACAAAACATCCGCACTGAAATTAAAGCATGGGGCGGCGGTGGGAATATTGACTGGTAAGTATAAATATTTCATAAAATTTTAACTTGATTACAAATTTTTGAATTTTATTTCAATTATTTATACTTACCAGTCAGAAACATACTTTTGGATAGATTCCAAAGCAGTCCTTTTACTGAACTGGAGGCGTATGCTGTATTAATTTCTGTCATCTAAATTGCACCATATGTACAAATGTCTATATATAACACATCAATAGTTCAACACAAAATAATGTTCATCATGAAATCATCACATTTAAAACTTCCACCAAAAACCAATTCTCCAACGCAACTCGCCGAAAAATTTAACATATTTACAAATTGTCTAATATTTCATCGACTGACAAATCTCTCAGATACAATTTTCCAAATGTGGACTCTGAACTCCAATCAGCTGCTTCTAAAATAGAATTTATAGATGCACCTTTGTATTTAAAGCCCAAGAGGGTCCAACTGCTCTATTTGAATGTGCCTTAATTGATATTTTTCAATGAAGAATCAGGATATGCTAATTTAATCACTTGAACGATCCATTTAGAAATAGTTTGTGACGTTACAGGCTTATGCTGTTCACATGTAGAAAGGAATAGTTTTCCCTGTTGGTCTTTATCTAAACTACTTCTAAATTTCTTTGTTCTTTCTAAATATTGTAACAGACATGTAACAGGATCTAACTTTTTATTGTCTGTGAATGCAGGTTGAACAACAATTTTTGAATTTCTATGATTTTGTTGATCCTGCTTTGCCAAACCACTTCTAATAAATGTAATGCCTTTTTGTTGTATCCTCATTAAGCAATGGTTCACTCTGAGAGACTGCAAATTGCTAGATCTCCTGAAAGAAGTAATAGAGATTAGAAAATCAGTTTTAAATGTCAAATGTTTCAAATCAATATTTTCAATAGGTTCAAAAGGTTCTTTCTGCAATAAGGTTAAAACCAACTGCAAATCCCATTCCGGTAATAACTTTTTGGTAGGCGGTCTAGAATTAAAAACCCCTTTTATAAGTCTTGTAATATATGGATGTTGACCTGCTGCAGTATTATCAACTTGAGGTAAAACATTGGAAAGCATAGACCTGTAGCCTGCAATAGTCCTTATAATATTGCAATCCATTTTCAAACAGATCTAGGCTATAAAATCTGGTACCTGATTTAAAGTTGCATTATGGGGATTAATTTCCCTTGTACTACACCAGCTACAGTACTTCTTGAATTTTGCACTATAGTCTTTCTGAGTTCCTTTCCTCCATGAAGCTGAGAGTAAATTTCTAGCTTCTTTAGAAAAGCCCTCTGCTTTGAAAGATCTGTTGATAGAAGCCAAGCAGTCAGACTGAATACCTCTGGGTCCTAATGAAAAACTTGGGACCTCGGTTGACAGAGAAGGTCTGATTGTATCGGGAGACTGACTGGGTAATCTATCAATAGTTGAAGTAATTCCGGGTACCAGTGTCTCCTGGACCACAAAGGAGCTATCAGGAGAATCTGACACTGGAACTGCCTCATATATTGCAATATCTTGGGTATCAGGCAGATTGGGGGATATGCGTAGGCATACATTTTCTCCCAAGATATTGTCAGGGCATCCAAGGCAAAAGCTTGAGGATGTGGAATCCATGAGCAAAACACCTTTGTCTGACGGTTTTCTGCCATTAGGCAAATAGATCCATCAGAGGTTGGTCCCACAAGAGAAAAAGTTTCTGTACAATTTGAGTGTTCAGTGCAGTTCTGTACACTTGAATTTAAGTATTTACTAAACCTGTCAGTTTTATTAGCATTACTGTTTTTATCAAGTAAATGACTACTCTCTGATTGAGTATCACTCTCTTCATGATCTGAAATTAGAACCAACAGATCTCGTCTCTCTCGACGGTCTACTTATGTAAAGATATTTCTGAGCGTTCATCAAAATCTCTTACAATTCTTGGACTACCTAAATCTTCATTCAAGTTTGGTTCCAAAGGAATTAATGGTCTGCGTTCCCTCTGTACAGGGACGTTATCCATTCTGGTAACCTCCTTCTCCTGCGTGGCTGACCCACCAGTATGAGAATTATCTGCACTTTTATTAGCTGCCTGTAGCAAGCCAAAAAGTTTATCAAACCGCTTTTTAAAGCTTTAATCTTCTATGCTGAAAAGCTTTATTTCTAGATTCGCCGTCTTGGACAAACGTTTTTTAGACTTATACTTGTTGAGGATTTGTTGCCGGTTCTGGCCATTTTGGTATCACGAATTTGGTTACCTGTACTTCTGGTAATACCGACGGAATCACTTTCTAATTCTTCTTCGGATATTCTATTCGTTTCTTCCATAGTTAAACAATTATATAGTACGTCATAGTCAAAAGACAAATATTGGGGCAGTAAAACATTTACTGACCGAATGCGAACTGAACGTGTTTTGTACAAGTCGACAGATAAACTGAAGCATGAACCACACAGATGATCTGGGTTAGTTAATGTTTGAATCAATATCATCTATGTGTTTGCGAGTTATGAACGTAGTAAAGAAAGATAATCCAAAAGTATGTTTCTGACTGGTAAGTATAAATAATTGAAATAAAATTGTACAAAACCTTCTTGCTGTTATAAAGTTCCAAAACACAAAATTTCATATTATCTTTACATGAAATTAGAGCTTTATGACATAGAAATAGAGTATTATGACACAGAAATTAGAATTGGTCTTAAATTCTAGAAACTGCAAAATTTTTGATGTCATCACAAAGTGTTAGGGGTTATATAAGAATCACCATGTCTGTTCATCCTCTGGCTCTATTATATATATTTCATGTGCTCTTTCAGCATATCTCCTTCTAAACAGCTAGACTGATATTGATGAAACTTCACACAGTTGTAGAACAACACTATAGCAACCTCAGATGGATGGGGATTAGTTTCCTCTTATGATGCACATCCTGTCAGGATATGCATAGAAGAATATAATGTCTAAGGGGATATATAATCAGTTTCCATATTCCCTTATAGTAATTTTTATGCCCCGCCGTAGGCAACAGGGGCATTAAGTGTTACCCTTGACCGTCCTTCCCATTTTTTCTTTTCAACACTCTAACTTAGGTCTGCCTCATTCAAATTTTATGAAATTCATACACAATGCTAAGAACAAAAACTAGCAGACAGAGTTGGAATTTGGGCAGTGAGTCACTTACCATTCTAGAGTTAATGCCCATTTTTAACTTGGAAAATTGGCTAATTGCAAAGCTTGATCTGGGCATTCGTGTCTAGACACAATTTTCTTTTATTATTTTAAACTTGGAAAGCTAATAAATATAACCAGATGTAATTGATCTTTAGTTACAGGTATGTTTTTATTCTTAAGGACTATTTCATTAAAAAGGATTCTATAGGGTAGGAAAGGACTTGCAAAATCCCTTCACCGCCAGTTGACATTCATTGACTAATTTTGCATTAATTGAAGGACATAAAACAATAAATGACCCACGACACATGTTAAAAAATAAAACTTCTGTGCCTACTAATCACTGTATTCTTGTCATTTCCAGGATTTGTAACATAACGTTATAGCAGCTTTAGTATTACTACTTTTAGTATTCCTGGGACTAACTTCTGCACAACATGCTATTATCAGATATGTATGTCTCTCAAATACACAGAGGCTCAGCTCTATAACTTATCACTGTATTCTTGTCATTTCCAGGATTTGTATGTCATATCAGCTTTAGTATTGCTACTATTAGTATTCCTGGGACTAACTTCTTCACAACATGCTATTGTATCAGATATGTATGTCTCTCAAATACACACAGGCTCAGCTCTATAACTTATCACTGTATTCTTGTCATTTCCAGGATTTGTATGTTATAGCAGCTTTAGTATTCCTGGGACTGACTTCTGCACAACATGCTATTATCAGATATATGTTTAACATCTACACAAAGGATCAGATAACCAAATATGACAACTATTCAATTATTACTCTGCTATGCATTTTTTTGGCTTTTCATGTGATTTTTGGGGTTTACATGAGACAAACGGTAAGTTAACTTTGATTTAACTTTTTATTTGTGAACTAGTGTCTTAATCACTGCTTTCTTCACTCTTTGAAGTTTTTGAAGTATTGTAGAATTTAGGCAGGGAAAGTGATTTTTACAGTCTTCAAAAACTTTTAAGACTTAATCACCTTTCATATTGTGCATGTCCTAGAAATGGTAAATTAAGAGGATAGTAAGTGGATGGATGTCAGTTCATTATTTCACCAGTTATCTCCAGTTTCTGTAGGAGTTGTTATTGGATATTTACTGATATAAAAAAGAGGGAGAAGATACCAAAGGCCAAATCAATCTCCTAAGTCGAAAGAGAGAGATCAACAAAATCAATCTCCTAAGTCGAAAGAGAGAGATCAACAAAATCAATCTCCTAAGTCGAAAGAGAGAGATCAACAAAATCAATCTCCTAAGTCGAAAGAGAGAGATCAACAAAATCGTGGTAAAAAAGAAGAAAACTATGAAAAGAAAAACAACATTCTATACAACACTACACGAAAAACTATGAAGACCTCATGCAACAAGAACCTACCAAAACAGGGGTAAGTGGATCCTGCTCCACATAGGGCTTCCATCGTGTTGTTCATGTCAATTGTAATTACTTAAGGTAGATCAGGTGTTTTCCGCCATCTTGGATGTACAATAGCAGAACACAATCAGTTTAGACCTTTAAAAAGCAAATTTTGTGAAAAGAATGTACTTCACGGGTTATGTTCTTCTCATATATTTTATGATGGTATAATACTAATCCCCTAACAGGAGGGATTGTGCCTGATATTCATATGATGAAGACATAATCTTTCAATCAGTTTAATTGAGGTCTGGAGCTGGCATGTCAGTAACTGCTAGTAGTCTGTTGTTATTTATGTATTTATGTATTATTGTCATTTTGTTTATTTTCTTTTGTTTCCTATTCTGACATCGGACTCGGACTTCTCTTAAACTGAATTTTACTGTGTGTACTGTTGTATTTTTGTTTTTTCTACATTGGCTAGAGGTATAGGGGGAGGGTTGAGATCTCAAAAAACATGTTTAACCCCGCCGCATTTTTGCGCCTGTCCCAAGTCAGGAGCCTCTGGCCTTTGTTAGTCTTGTACCATTTTTAATTTTAGTTTCTTGTGTATAATTTGGAGTTTAGTATGACGTCCATTATCACTGAACTAGTATACATATTTGTTTAGGGGCCAGCTGAAGGACGCCTCCGGGTGCGGGAGTTTCTCGCTGCATTGAAGACCCATTGGTGGCCTTTGGCTGTTGTCTGCTCTATGGTCGGGTTGTTATCTTTGACACTTTCCCCATTTCCATTCTTAATTTTATTCATTTATTAGGCTTTTCATCTAAATAAAGAAAAACATGTGTTTTATTATATTTTTTCAACTTTTTTTTACAAATTTATACAAAATATTTTTTGTTTGATTCAATTTGTTTCAACTTTTGTCATATAAGGGGAGATAACTCTGATAATGTAACTTTTATAATGGAATGTGTTATGAATTTACCTATTTTGTTTTGTAGCAGGAACATGAGTCCTGTGACTCCCATTTTTTATTTTTATTTTCTGAAAGCACAGTATAAGAGCTATCTTCTCATATTTTATCTTAAAATTCTATCGTTTAGTTTTCTTCTTATCACAAAAAATTTGGTTTTCCATGTATAATCTGTACAAAATCTGATAATTTTGCACAACCTGTAGCATGATAGAAAAAAAAACCTGTGACTTATACTTTTATCATATTTTTGAGAAAGCATACTATAAACTGGATTTTTGCAAATTATTAAAAAATTCTATCAATTTTAATTTAGACCTCCTCCCCCCTCCTTCCTTAATATCAATTAGAAAATAATATAATGTTTCAACATTTTGAAAATATATTGGGAGAACTATAAAAAAAAATTGTAAAGGGTTGAATTTTTTATTTTGTCAGTACAGAAAAATAAAAGTTGTGAAAAAATTATGAGAAGCTGTAGACAATATTGTTTTAAATGGTGCATATTGCAAATAAATTTGTATGATTTTATATGGCTTTCATAGTGAATTTTTTGGTGATAAAACAGTATTATTTAACTTAAGGCTGATATAGCAATACAGTCAATATTTCCTTCATTATCATGATACAATCTAGTAACCAACTAATAACAAAGTCTATTTGTCTATTTGTCAGTAAAATATGGAAAAATGATAAAAACAATTTAATTTTTCTCTGGATACTGTCTTCATTAGACAAAAGTTTCTGTACAAGTTTTATTAAATTTCAAGAAGGTTTGACAAAGAAATTGATGTCTAAACATACATTTTTTCATTCTTTTCACTCAAAAGTGACTATTCCATGTATAGTCCATACAAAATCTGACAATCCTACACAACATGTAGCTTGAAAAAAGCTCAGTCAGTCGAATCAAAAATAATAATTTTTTTCTCACTTTGCTAAAATGCAGATTATATCGTGCTATTTTAAAAAAAATATGTATAATAAAAAAGTATAGGTGATTGTCACCTATACTTTTTATTATCGTATTTTTTAAAATAGCACACAGTCACCTACACTTTTTATTATACATATTTTTTTTAAATAGCACGATATAATCTGCATTTTAGCAAAGTGAGAAAAAAATTATTATTTTTAATTCGAAACACCCCCCCTCCCCTCCCCATCTACCTTAAAATTCATTTTCTTTTGATTAACTTTTATTGATTAAAAATGCTGAAGTATAAATATATATATGAAGTTAGCACTTAATTTGTGACTTCAACCTTACTTCTCCAAAATATACCTCAAATGGTGAATTAAGCATAAAAATACAGTGTGCAAAGAAAATGCATGGGTACTAGAATTCAATAGTTAATATTGATCCCACAGGAAAAAAAATTGTTCAACAATCTTTATCTTTTTATCATGTTTGAAAATTCCAATAGGGGACATATATTGCATTATTGTAGTAAATAAACCATTTTTTAAGACATTTTGGCCATTGGCCTTCTTCAGTTTCTTTATTATCCTTCTTAAAAACATGGTAGACATTTTATTTTCACAATCATTAAAATGTTTGAAAGTGCTTTTTCCACTTTAGAACACTAGAACAGTCTTTACATAAACTACAAAACTGCATTTAGTTCAATATTTTAAACTTATGTTCGAGTACAACTGTAACACTTTAGTTGATATCCTATAGGACTTTTTGATATTTATTTTGTTTGTTTTTCACCCAGGCAATCAAGAGACGTACAATTATGGTGGAAAAGGACAAATTATACAAGGTAAGTGTCATTTCAAACAAAAATTTTCTTTAAAGTTGAAGTGTAATTGACATGCCATTTTATCAGCCTGTTTGACCAAAACAATTTATCTACATTAGTACTAGTCAACCAGTCATTGATACCAATTGAAAATTGGATATAAAAAACTCCCACACACAAAAATCCAGAAAAAACCGAGTCTCATACTAATAGAAAGAAGAGAATATAGAACACAGTACATGGTTTAACCAAAGACCATAATTAGGTAAGGGACAAAAATGTGAAGAATGTCAAGATATGTCTTTGATAACAATTAAGTTATCAGACTACTCCTTGCAGGCAGGGGAACCTGTTTCCAATGGACACATTATGTTTTTATTAAAAGATTGTTCATGTTAATTTCTATAGAAGCTTGCAGTTTCAAAAAAATCCCAAATTTGACATAACAAAATATGGACTGCAACTTAAAGGGGAGACGATTGCAATTGTTGAAATTTGGAAGTAGAGAAAGAGGGAATGGCATGCATTGATAGTCAATATGCCATGAACCCTGAATGTTGGGGGCATAAAAAGAAAAATAGAACAATATTACTGTCTCATTTTTCTTTTTTAGCCACAGTCTTGTTGAGAATATAAAAATAAGACGATGTGGTATGAATGCCAATGAGACAACTCTCCACCAGAGACCAAATGATGTAGAAGGTCAGCAACTATAGGTCACCATGTTGCCTTCAACAATGAGCAAAACCATACCATATAGCGAGAGTTTACTTTACTGCCTTCAACAATGAGCAAAACCCATACCGTATAGCAAGAGTTTACTTGCGAGTATTAAATGTAAATACTGTAAATTCAGAAATTATTGGGATGCTTTTTATTTATGCGAATAATGCGACTGGGTGAGAATCACTTTAATAAGAACTCGAATTCTAATATCTAATAGATATATCTATATGCATATTTTCTTGAAATCGCAATTTTAATTAATCTCGCATTTTTGTCCATTCTTCAAAAATCACAATAATTTCTGAATTTGCAGTAGTTGTTAAATCAAAGTACTCACTGTTTGTTTATTTCAGAAATTGTAGATATATTTATATATTTCAGGCTAAGAGAAAGTTTATTGACCATTTTGGAGAGAATGCAAGGACAGAAAGAGTAATTGAAATGTCAATGTCAAAGACCAGAGGAGGCACTAGAATATAAACTACAGAATCAGTACTGGACTATCAAATGTTATCTTTATCATTAGCTCACTAGTACAACATTGCCATTATAACATTTCAATCTCATCATGAAGTCAATTTGAATATGTTTATTGGATGTATTGTAGACCAGAATTTCATGAATATGTTATTGTTCAATTTCAAGATTTTCTTGTTCAAAACAAATGCATAGTTGTTATAGTTTTTTGTTATTATTTAATTATTAAATTTTTAATTTAAAATAAAGTTTTTTTCTTTATAGTAAGTATTTGATCCTTGTCTGCCAAAAGGGTTTTCATTTTTTTAGGCTTTCTTTTTCAGTCTTCATGATAAACTTTTGAAACTTCTGTCCTGAAGCTGAATTTTACAAAAATTTTAGTTAGATTTTATTGGCCTGTAGAAATGATTTTTATAGGCCCGACAGTATTTTTATGAGCCTGGGCTGGTGGGCCTGTGATTGAGCTCAAAGACTGCTTTTCTTTTGTAACAAAGTTGCAGGGAGATATTGTTATGTTATGGTATTTGTATGTTCCATCTTACCTTATTGATATGCGTCTGGTTAGGTTTTGACCTTGATATCAGCTTGACCTTTGACAGGGCAATTCTGTAGTTTAAATGAAAATTTGAACCAAGTAAAATGAAATTTGTTCCAGTGGTTAAGTTGAAATCATGCATAGAGAATGACCTTTATTGACTCTTAAGGATCAAAGGTGAGAGTTCAGGATACAACTTACAAATCAGTTTTCATTCAACCTTGTATATACATTGTATTTGCTTAGTTTCAATAAAGATAGAATGACTTTGTCAGCGCTAAATCTGATGTTAAGGGTCCAGGTGAACTCTTGTCTATAGGACCCAGACTGAACAAAATTTCACTAAATGCTAAGGAATATGATGGAATCAACTATTTTTCATCCTGGAGGAAAGGGATATGTTCTCACTGTAAAATGAGCTTCTGCTGCTGTAAGCACAATCTGTCTTCATCCAATTTACCAGTGAAGTTAAAAAGAGACTATTATTCTGAATTGTCACTGATATATACCAACAATATCCATAATATCATAAATAATTAAATGCCAGCACACTTAATCAGAAACCTAATCTTTCAATCAAGTAAAAATTAAGACCCACCTAATCACAAAAATTAGCATTTTAACAATGAAAAACTTCCAATTTCTCTGAACCAAGACTGAAGGTGTGGAGACTTATTTTATCCTAAGCCTGAAATTCATGGATAATATTGCTGCATGTGCTACAGAATACTATTAACTTATATTTTCCTGCAAGGTATGCCCTCACTCTCTTTCACAATACAATGCAACACTAACAAGCTACAGATTAAATATGAAGTACAAATGTAATTCCTTTCAGCACAAGCAAAGAAAACATTGACAAAAAATTCCATGATCAGCAGGTATCATTAAATTTCAGACAGAGGTGACATCCTGGCAGATCTGAAAACCACATACATTGTATAACTCAACATTATCTAGCTCCAGACTAAATATTTAGCAATTTTTTGTCCATACAAGCAAAGAAAACATTGACAAAAATGTCTATGATCACAGAATGGGACTGCCTGGAAGACCTAAAAATCCCTTGCATGGTACAACTTAACATGAAATAGTTCGACCAATAAAATTGAGAATGGAAATGAGGAATGTGTCAAAGAGACAACAACCCGACCATAGAGCAGACAACAGCCGAAAGCCACCAATGGGTCTTCAATGCAGCGAGAAACTCCCGCACCCGGTGGCGTCCTTCATCATTCGTCAAACATTCATCATTGTTATCTACACGGTGGATTTTGTCTTGCTCTGTGATTAGTTTTCTATGTAGTGTTTAGTGGACTTGTTATTCAATTAACCTTTGCCATGGTGTTGTCATTTGACTAAATGTCCCCTTGGTGTCTTCCACCTCTTTTTTTTTTTTTTTTTTTAAATGAGTAATATGCAATAAAAGTTGCAAACAGACTAACAAGGTGATTTCAGTATACAACCCACTCTACAAGTAAGGGTATACACAATGATCTCCCCAGGTCGTTTTAGGGTCGCAACACTATAATTTTTCCTGTGACGCTATAACAATTTCCGCGACGCTATAATTATTTTGAGGATGCTATTTTTTCTTGTCTCTATACATTGCCGCAATGTCCTAATTTTTTAACTTTCAACTTTTTACAGCTTGTGATCATAAAAATTATATCACCTTTAATTGTAATCCCTTCAAGTCGGACAATAGAGGCAATTAAAAGTGATTAAATAGGTGTTAATTGCCCTTTGGGTGATAACTGTTTGGATACTGATACCCCAAGCTGACACTTATGACATGACTAATAACACCTGGTCCACTTGCAAATTTTGACATCGAGAAAATGGAATCAGAAAATCATAAACAATTAAAAATCTACGTTTGCATCATGACATAACCATCTCCTAAGAGAAGAAAAAAACTACGTGGGGTACCTTGATGTTGACAAAATGGTATAATACATAATGTCAATGGTATCAATGAGTACTTCTGCACAAATACTTAGTCAGTAAATTAAACCATGTACAAAATTCAAATTCATTATAAGACTGGGTTTATGATAATGCTTGCACAAGCACAGATGCATGCATGGATGGATGGTGTTTAACAGTCGTTGGCACATATATATTACATCGATGTCAGGATACGAATTTGTTGATGTACAAGCAGTATGATTGTGAAACATTTTTTGTACTAGACCAATATGCTGAGCCTGATTTTAAATGTGTGAGTTCACAAAGCAACAGTCTGTAGGCCAAGGCTTCCAAAACGGTCATATATTCCGGACATTTGTATAATGTCAGGTAAAAGTCCAGCTGGGCAAAGCATGAAACGGTCATCTACTTTTTAGTTTGAAGGCTTTTTTAAGAGACGGTCATTTTTACATGATTCGCGATCTTTTTGACCCTACCTTTTGCTTTTAACAGCCACACATTTCCGGTCATAAAAGTGACATGATCATTAAGTACTATCAAAACAACCTCTACTTTAATACCTTCTCATTTTAATCAAGGCTAATTAGTTGTCGAACATCTGAAATTTACCTGTTCAGGTGACAGGTAAACTATTTTGAACCAGACATTGATCGGTCTATTCAAAGTTATTTTCTTACATTTCAGCGGTTTGCATCTAATTAATTTAGCCAAAAAGATTTAAATTATCAGAAATACGTTTATAAATATGATTTGATGAAAAAATTAAAAAGGTGAAAATGAAAAATCGTCATAAATAAAGGCAACAGTAGTATACCGCTGTTCGAAACTCATAAATCGATAGAGATTAAAACAAATCTGGGTTACAAACTAAAACTGAGGTAAACGCATCAAATATAAGAGGAGAACAACGACACAACAAAAACACAACATTAAAATGTAACACACACAGAAACGAACTATAATATAACAATGGCCATTTTCCTGACTTGGTACTGGACATTTTAAGAAAAAAATGGTGGGTTGAACCTGGTTTTGTGGCATGCCAAACCTCCCGCTTTTATGGCAACGTCAAACACAACACCAAAACTACAACATTACATGACAGGACCACAATACAAATAAATGGGAGAACATATAGGACAAAGAAACACACAAATAATAGCTAGCAGAAGGTACTAGGCTTAAAATTCAATACGCCAGATGTGCGTCTCGTCCACACAAGACTAACCAGTGATGCTCAGATAAAATAAGTTTGAAAGCCAAAACAAGTACAAAGCTGAAGAGCACCAAGGACCAAAACTTCCAAAAAGTTGCGCCTAACACAGCCAGGATTTTCTGCCTGGGACAAGAACATCCTTATTATTTAGAATAATTTATAATTTTGCAAACAATAAATATTATAAAATGACTATATAATAGATATACATGATAAAACCAAAGTTTTCAATCACAACCACGTTGTTTGAACCAGAGACATGTCTCTGTTTGAACTAGTACACGTGTGCGCATGTGCGCAGGTGTGAAATTTAATTATGCATCCTAATTTCTTCAAAAAATGTTTAAATTGTCATTGATACCTTTATCTCACGTTTATTTCAAATATTTTCTTGAAGAAATAACGTAGAAAGAGCTACGTACACTCATTCATGCTATGCAAATGTACACGGAATTTATGTATCCGTCTCTGGTCCATGTTTTACCATTGTCAAGATAACATCCGGTTTAGATTTAAAAACGGAAGTAAAGTTTTTGACAACGCTATTTTGCACAAATAAAGAGTTTAAGGCAGATATAAGTACGCTGATGTTGCACACTTCGAATGATGCACTGCCAATTTAACAGTTTACGTCAGAACTTCGAATTTGAAGAAAGTTTAATATCGTTTTTTTTTTTTAATGTCAATCATTGGGATGGCCAACTCGGCAACTGAATACCATAATTGCCTTTTGTTTATATATTTAGTCTTAAGGGATTAAAATCGGGATAATATATAAAATGTCCGGCTGGCTAAAAATGATTTTGGAAGCCCTGATGTAGGCCGACATATTGCCCTACCTGGACATCATTTTAACTCTGGGCCAAACAGTCTTTGGTCTTACTCTTATTAAAATCCTAAGAGCTTAGTAGAGAAGCAGCAAATGCTAATTTTGAAGTCTTTGGTTTGACCCAGCTTCAGGTTAAAAAAAACGGCCTCTGGCACACAAGAAAAGACTGCAACAACATCATCAAGGTGGTTGATGCTAAAACAACAGTATACTTATCATCAATGGTACATTAGAAAAATGTTTCTGATCGATAAAGAGCTAATGAAAATGGCTGACAATGAAAGTGTTTCAAAGGATGAAGGAAATGTAACACTTCTGTTTAACTTCAAGGGGTATTTGGTGCAGGCATGTCAAAATTATAATTTCATGGTGTTTAATGGAATGTTTATTTCTACAGACAAAATCAAACACTTGAAACTTGTTCACATTTTACTCATTTTTTAGTTGAAATAAGGTGAATTTTGTTTTTGAGATGGTTTACAGTATGAATCAAATACAATTCAGATTTAAACTTTGTCATTCATTTATTACTATCATTACAATATTAAAGCAACAATTCATTCTTACATGATGAATAAAAATTAAGAATCATCTGACTAAAATGTGACATACTGTGAATTCATTTACTTTCTTGGGTACCGATTCTTGTGGATTTTGGAAAAATTGTATTTTTGTGAATGATGAAAGATTGTATTTTCAATGATATTTGATTCATGGTTTTGTCAATGTCTGCATACAAGTCTATAAAAAATTTGTACTTGGTTGAACATTGGTTTTTATCCTTTACCCACGAAATCCACGAAAGATGGTATCCCACGAATAATATTGAATCCACAATATTCTAATAGAATTTAGTATCTAGCAGTTTTATCAGAATCAGTCCATATATAGTTGTGGTTGAAGATTTTTTTTTTCTATCAAATATATTGTACATTATATATATGGTTCAAATCTGCTAAATATGAGACATCTGAATGTTAATTGTAAATATCTTCATATCTGATTCGTAATGCAGATATCAATACACATAATCTAATTTGTGTTTCTAAAGTTCAGAAAGTTATAATGTACCACATTTTTACAGTGATTAAAATGACAAATTGCACTTTTCCCACTGGTTAAATCTGTAAGATTCACTCAATTTCTTTAATAATAGATTTTTTCCTCTCTGGTACAAATGGTACAGCGCCAGGCTTGCTATGCTTACGGCGATTGGCTTCCCTAAGATAAAAGAAAAATTTGTTTATTAGTTTAGTAGCAACATATGACCATCATTTAATGAACAACAGAGACAAGATTGTTTATTGTAATCAACATGATCAAGGTAGTTTACAATGAAGTTGTGGTCACATCCACTCATTATGATGTGAAATTTTCAAAAGATACGCCTAATTATGATTTTGACCACAATTTCACAGTTCATTGAACACAGAAATATAGTGCAAACAGGGCATGATGTCCTACCGACAGATATTTTATCATTCTTATGTTTAGCTTTTGTGATCTACAGTCCTTAACTTACACTGTATTAAAGATTGGACGTTAAACAAACAACAAACAATCAATCAAGATAAACCTGTCTTAATCATGTTAATAGATAAGTTCAATATGACTTAATTTGAGTTAGAGTTATTTCCCTTGGCCACCATTTCGGAGGGGTAATGGTTTATTTTCTTATTTGATTTAACCAAATTGAAACATTTGGTACAGACAAGGCTGATAAAAGATCCTTATTAGATTGTAGTGATGAATCATGCATGGCTAAAAGAAATTAAAATTGTTCAGAAAACAACTTTTTCTTTAGTCTAGCGGTCTGAATAACAAGTTTAATTTGGCTGATTTGATAAGAAATTGGTGCACATGGACGTCAAAAATGGTGACAAAAGGGAAGTAGCTCTTGATCAAATTGTGTCAATCAAAACGAAACTGCTTGACACAGCATTTTGTACACACAAAAGAAACTTGTTGAATATAACTGTGGAAATGAAAAGAAAATTAAACATCCATATAAGTTCAGTGATTCTTCACACAAAATCTTACCATTAAAATTGATCATTAGCTACACTAAAGTTTTAATTTCATTCCCATGAGAGTGGTGGCAAAGAAGAAAACTAGACAGTCCCCAGAGCCCAGAGTTAGTGAAACTTCATTTTTTTATGGCAGACCAAGGACTGACAATAAGCAAACTTTTGCTGGTCCTTCCAAAAATTTGGTGGTCCTTCATTTTTTTGAAATTACAATGTATCACCTAATTTGTAATATTAGATATTAGGGTGAAAAACATTAGACAATGACAGTAAGATACAAAAAGAACTATATTTGAGATGCACAAATATGTATGTTAACGGTTAAAAGGTTTCCTATTTCTATATCTCTTGTCAGCTGAAGGTTAGAAATTTTAATATACTTTTTGGAAAATATTGTTTAAATACAGAAAAAAATCATGTTTTCAATGAGTCCGGTTCCAATATTAAGATAATGTTTGCCATTTGCAATTTGTCAATTAATAAACTGAACACGGTTTTGGTTGAACAGTCTGTCACAAACTTCTATTAATCAAGTTAGCGGTTGTAACAATAATTTTTTGCCTATAGTTTTTTTGACAAAATCCTCCCAAAAACACTGGTCGGTACCATACTAAATGGTTGGTCAGGAAATCATTAACACACAACTATTCTTCACCTTATCAATGTTCTAGCCCTTTAACGTATGGCAGCTGTTTTTATGAGTGTGTGCCTACAACCAATGTTACCCCTAACTCTGCCATTGAAATTACTTCTAAAGTTATGATTTCTGAACTCAACAATGCAAGGAAAAACAGAAAACCAGTGTCCAATGATTTGACAAACTACCAACTAGATGGAACAAACCATAATGATCTTTTTGTCTGTCCGACAACTGTGAAATTTTGGCAGTCAGCACAGACAGGTCTGACAGTTTTTGCCAAGCCTGAGAGCCACCCGTATTTTCAAACAAAATATCTTGGAAAAATAAATAAATCTTTTGCATTCAATATTTTGTTTGTTCGCATAAAACACCATGGTAAGAAAAAACCAATAAACAAACATACTTTCTTTTCTGTGACTGTCTGATTATTCTCATCTCCTTCTGTTGGTTATAGATCATCTTTGGAACATGTCGATGGCGGGAGATTCTTTTCACTTCAGGATGGAATGCAAATTTTTCTTTCAGTTTAGAGTTGTAATTAAATGCTGTTTTCTCTCTTGGTTTAAGCTTAAACATACAAGAATAGGATCAACATTAAATTTTTTATGTGGACAAAAAGGAAACATAAACATCATAACAACAACCTTGTAACACATGTTTATAAAAAAAATTAAATTGATGTGAATAAGAAGCTCATGAGAGCCTGATATCGCTCACCTGGCTGTAATTTCAGTTTCAGTCATTTGACTTATTTGTAATCTTTCTTTGCTGAACAATTTTGTCATTTACACTTTCTCTCTTTCTATAATAATATTAAAGATAATACATAACCTAAAACTGTAAAATTTCCTAGAAATTAACTATTTCTGGACAGTAACCAAACAATAAGTTGTCCTATTGGTCTGAAGATTACTTGACCAGTAGATCTTAACCTGTTTAACACTTTCACCTATGTCAGTTTTGCTCTTACTGCTTTAGATGAAAGCCAAAAACTTCATTTGACCCCTATGTTCTTTTTTTAGAAACTGCCGCCATGTTTTTGAATCAAATCCTGAATAAAATCTATAAACTAAATACCCTAAGGAACATTCAATTAAAGTTTTTAAGTATTTGGCAAAATAGTTTCAGAGAAGAAGATTTTTGAAAAAGTATTTGGACTTTCACAAAAAATGTAAAAAAAAAAAAACGTTTTAAGGGCAATAACTCCTCAAGGGGTCAATTGACTATTTTGATCATGAGACTTATTTGTAGATCTTACTTAGCTGTACATTTATTGCCATTTATACTTTCTCTTTATCTATTATAATATTAAAGAAAATAACCAAAAACAGTAAAATGAAATAAAAATAAACTATTTCCAACAGTAACCCAAAAATGGGTTGTTGAACTCATCTGAAAATTTCATAACAGATAGATGATGACTTATTTCTCACTTAACTTCATGTCACTTTTGCGCTAACTGCTATAGTTTTTGAGATAAAAGCCAATAAACAGCTGCGCCATGAGCGCATGATACGCCCGTCGTCTTGTGTGTGAATTTTTATGCAATAAGCATAAATAGTTTCTGACATACGGCGTGACATGCAAAAACCCCCTTTTTTTTTTACAAAAAACTCAATATCTCTTAAATAAAATTTTGAATCAGAACCATAAAGTATACAGATCTTTAGATTAATATAACTAAGAAGTGTGTAAAATTTTAAGCAATAATCATAAATCGTTTTTGAGATACGGTGCGACATGTGAAAAACCCCTCCCCCTTTTTTTACAAAATACTCAATAACCCAAAAATAAAATTTTGAATCATCACCAAAAAGTATACAGATCTTAAGGTTAATATAACTAAGAAGTGTGTAAAGTTTTAAGCAATAATCATAAACTGTTTTTGAGATACGGCGCGACATGTGAAAAACCCCTCCCCCTTTTTTAACAAAATACTCAATATCTCTAAAATAAAATTTTGAATCATCACCAAAAAGTATACAGATCTTAAGATTAATATAACTAAGAAGTGTGTAAAGTTTTAAGCAATAATCATAAATTGTTTTTGAGATACGGCGCGACATGTGAAAAAAAAAACACACACCTGTTTTAGTTACTAAGTCCCGTAACTCAAAAAGTTTTAATCTTATTTTCACCAAAAAGTATACAGATCGTTTGACCATCATAAGAAACAACTATGTTAAGTTTCATGAAATTTGGATAAGTCATTCTCAAGTTACGGTGCGACATGTTTACGCCGGACAGACAGACGGACAGACGGACAGACAGACGGACGGACGTCAGACATTTGTATACCATAATACGTCCCGTCAAAAAATTTGACGGCGTATAAAAACTGCATTTGACCCCTATGTTCTATTTCTAGCCATGGTGGCCATATATGCATGTTTGTTAATGGATCCTAAGAAACATTCGGTTAAAGTTTAGAAGTATAAGGTCCACTGACCGGCGGTCCAGTAGTTTCAGAGAAGATTTTTAAATGTTATATAAGCAAACATGATGAACAAATTGTGTAAAATTGTCCTTAAAGGGCAATAACTCCTTAAGGGGTCAATTGACAATTTCAGTCTTATAACATTTTTTTAGATTTTACTTTGCTGAACATTTTTGCTGTTTACAGTTTATCTTTATCTTCAATAATATTCAAGATAATAACCAATAAAATGCTCCGCTGGGCGTAGCTGGATACGACCGCAGAGGTCTAACCCTGAACAGTTGGGACAAGTATGGACACAACATTCAAGCTTGATACAGCACTGAATTTGGATTGTGATTAAATATTTGACACAGCACAGGTTTCTGACACAGAATGAATGTTGTCTAAGAACTTAAAAATTTTTAATTTACCTATTCAAACCATATCATTATTTGCTTTTATATATAAATCAGAAATAACCAATTTAAAATGGAAAATTTTAAAGCAAAATAAAATGCTCCACAGGGCGCAGCTTGATACGACCGCAGAGGTCGAACCCTGAACAGTTGGGGCAAGTATGGACACAACATTCAAGCTTGATACAGCTTTGCATTTGGATTGTGATTAAATATTTGACACAGCATAGGTTTCTGACACAGAATGAATGTGGTCTAAGAACTTAAAAATTTTAAATTGGACATTCACCTATTATGGTCCAATATCCAAAATCTAAATACATGGTTAGATTCAGCATATCAAAGAACCCCAAGAATTCAATTTTTGATGAAATCAAACAAAGTTTAATTTTGGACCCTTTTGACCTCAATGTGGACAAAGTTGATAACGGGGCCCAAAAATCAAAAATCTAAATACATGGTTAGATTCAGCATATCAAAGAACCCCATATATTCAATTTTTGTTGAAATCAAACAAAGTTTAATTTTGGACCCCGATTTGGACCAACTTGAAAACTGGGTCCATAATCAAAAATCTAAATACATGTTTAGATTCAGCATATCAAAGAACCCTAAGAATTCAATTTTTGTTAAAATCAAACTAAGTTTAATTTTGGACCCTTTGGACCTTAATGTAGACCAATTTGAAAACGGAACCAAAAATTAAGAATCTAAATACACGGTTATATTCTGCATATCAAAGAACCCCAATAATTCAATTTTTGATGAAATCAAACAAAGTTCAATTTTGGACCCTTTGGAACTTAATGTAGACCAATTTGAAAACGGAACCAAAAATTAAGAATCTAAATACACGGTTAGATTCGGCATATCAAAGAACACCAATAATTCAATTTTTGATGAAATCAAACAAAGTTCAATTTTGGACCCTTTGGACCTCAATGTGGACCAATTTAAAAACGGGGCCCAAAATCCAAAAACTAAATACACGGTTAGATTCAGCATATTAAAGAACCCCAAGAATTCAAGAATAAAACCCCATTGAAATTGGTCAAGAAATAAGCAATTTATACGAAGTATCTTCTTTTGCACAATACTGTGCAATTAAATATTTCTTGCTATTGCGCAATACTGTACAATTGACAATTTCTTGCTATTGCGCAATATTGTGCTATTGGATATTTCTTGCTATTGCGCAATACTGTGCAATTGAAGATTTCTTGCTATTGCGCAATACTGTGCAATTGAAGATTTCTTGCTATTGTGCAATACTGTGCAATTGAAAATTTCTTGCTATTGCACAATACTTATTATATAATAATTTACACATCCTGTTTGGTGTGTATCTCCTACCATATCATTAGTATTTGCTTTTAAATATAAATCAGAAATAACCAACTAAAAATGGAAAATTTTAAAAGAAAAAAAAAGGAAAAAAAAAAATCCCCCCCCCCCCAAATTTTTTGAACCCCCTTATGATTCATCACCCCCAAACTCAATCCCAGCCTTCCCTTTGTGGTATGGTACCTTGCAGTACAATTTCAGAGAGATCCATACACTTGAACACAAGTTATTGTCTGGAAACTAGAAAAATGCTTATTTTTGGCCCCTTTTTGGCCCCCAATTCCTAAACATTTCAGCAATTACCCCAGAACTCAATTCCAGCTTTCCCTTTGTGATATGGAACCTTGTAGTACAATTTCAGAAAGATCCATACACTTACACACAAGTTATTGTCATGAAACTAGAAAAATGCTAGTTTTTTGCCCCTTTTTGGCCCCTAATTCCTAAAATATTGAAACAATTACCCCAAAATTCAATCCCAGCATTCCTTTTGTGATATGGAACCTTGTGGTACAATGTCAGAGAGATCCATACACTAACACACTAGTTATGTCTGGAAGTTACAAAATGCTTATTTTTGGCCCCTAATTCCTTTACTGTTGGTACCATAACCCCCAAAATCAATCCCAACCTTCCTTTTGTGGTATTGAACCTTGTGGTAAAATTGCATAGAGATCCATTCACTTAAACTAAAGTTAGAGTGTGAAAACCAATGTGTCTTCGGACGACGCCGGACGACGCCAGACGACGACGGCGACGACGCCAACGTCATACCAATATACGACCACAAAAATTTTTTTGCGGTCGTATAAAAAATCCCCCCCCTAAATTTTTTGAACCCCCTTAATATTCATCACCCCCAAACTCAATCCCAGCCTTCCCTTTGTGCTATGGTACCTGCAGTACAATTTCAGGGAGATCCATACACTTGAACACAAGTTATTGTCTGGAAACTAGAAAAATGCTTATTTTTTGCCCCTTTTTGGCCCCTTTTTGGCCCCTTATTCCTAAACGTTTTGGGCAATTACCCCCAAACTCAATTCCAGCTTTCCCTTTGTGATATGGAACCTTGTAGTACAATTTCATAAAGATCCATACACTTACACACAAGTTATTGTCATGAAACTAGAAAAATGCTTGTTTTTTGCCCCTTATTCCTAATATTTTGAGGCAATTACCCCCAAAATCAATCCCAGCATTCCCTTTGTGATATGGAACCTTGTGGTACAATGTCAGAGAGATCCATACACTAACAAACAAGTTATGTCTGGAAGTTACAAAAATGCTTATTTTTGGCCCCTTTTTGGCCCCTAATTCCTTTACTGTTGGTACCATAACCCCCAAAATCAATCCCAACCTTCCTTTTGTGGTATTGAACCTTATGGTAAAATTTCATAGAGATCCATTCACTTAAACTAAAGTTAGAGTGCGAAAACCAATGTGTCTTCGGACAACGCCGGACGAGGACGACGACGCCAACGTCATACCAATATACGACTGCAAAAATTTTTGCGGTCGTATAAAAACTGCAAAATTTCCTTTAAATTACCAATTTAGAGGCAGCAACCCAACAATAGGTTGTTCGATTCATCTGAAAATTTCAGGGCTGTTAGATCTTGACCTATTGAACATTTTTACCCCCATGTCAGATTTGCTCTAAATGCTTTAGTTTTTGAGATATAAGCCAAAAACTGCATTTGACCCCTATGTTCTATTTTTAGCCATGGCAGCCATGTTTGTTGATGGATTAAAACTTTGGACATAATTTATAAACTAGATACCCTAAGGAACATTCAGTTAATGTTTGAAGGTATTTGGCCCAGTTGGAGAAGATTCTTGAAATAGTTTATGACGACAGCGACCGACGACGATGCATCTGAGGACACCAAATTTCATGTTGAGACCACACCTGGGGACACAACTCATGCCTATCAAAAATAATCATAGAAAGGCTACCATTGGTTATGAATGGCAAATGTCTAAAACATAAGACAAGCTCTAAATATATATATAGTAATGATACTACACAAGCTGTCATTTCAATCTTAAATTTTTTTGTACAACTTTGTGGACTATTGTTTTTCTTTTTGTCTTTATCCTTTTGACCATGGTGTTGTTTTTATTAAGTTCATTGACTTATTTTTCTACTATTCTTAATACAGGAATATGTAATATGTTAAGAATACTAATTCTTATCTACAACATAGATACAAAAAATAAAATTTGTGTGGTTCCAATTACATCCTGAAAAAAAATAGGGTCGGTAGGTCGGCATTTTTTTTAATTCTAATTTTTTATTGTCAAAATCTGGAAAAAAATTGTGTGTTCACCAAATCCAATTCCGGTCTTATAAATGCCCCTTCCGGAATTTCACCATTTTCTACATGTTTGGAGGTAAAATAAATAGACATGTTACCTTTTTAGTTAATTCTGTTACGAATTTGTTGCCTTTTTAGTCGTAGTGGATACTTCTAATGGAAAATCAGATGACAGAAGTCTGTGAATTTAATTATTGAAATTAACATGCCACAAAAATTTATTTTTCAGAAAAGGAAAAAAAAAGTTCTAGTGTCAGGGAGTTTAAACAAGGGACTGTCGGGTAACTGGAACAACACATAAATTTTTATTTGGCCTAAAGAAAAATGTTGGGTGGTTGTATTAAACTTATTTTAAAACATAATTTATAACATTCTAATTTCATGTTAAATTGGTTTGACCCAATTCAATCTTACCACTCCTAGTTTCTCTGAAGCTTGTGCCTTCCAAATCCTGATATTCATTTCATCAGAACCAGAAAGAATGTATTTGTTATCTAAAGACCATCGTACAGTTTCAACACGCTGCATTCGCTTTGTATGGTATATTTCTCTGTAAAAAAATTGAACTATCAGTTGGAAATAAAATCAAAGATAGTACTTTAAATTCTGATAATATTACGTGCAATTATTATTGTGATTTTTAAAGAATTGGCAAAAATGCAATTTAAGTTGTTGTGATTTCAGGAACAGCTGAATACAAATATATATGTATCAGATATCAGAATGTGAAATCTCAATATTGCCATACTCACCCAGTCACATTATTTGCATTAAAAAAATAACACATTTATTTCTGAATATACAGTATTTTTAAAGTTATTTCAATATTCATTATGTCCATGTAATGTAAATGTACTCTGTTTTTTATTCAGGTGAATTTGTTTTTCAGATGTCAAGGTGAATCATGAACTTACTACTGTGGGTTCATTATTATTCCTGGGATAACAATTTTTGTGTATTTCGTGGGTGTAAGTAAACCACAAAATCAAATGTGCAACGAAGTACAAATTTTCTATAAGGGCTATTCCAAAAAATAAATGTATGGCGGAAGGGGGGGGGGGGGGGGGGGGGGGGGTCAGAAGGTACTTTTTATTCAACCCTGCATGCATATAATTTTAAATGATTATTTCATTTAGCGTTAAGGCTGTATGTTTAAAATAACCACCACTATCAAATTCTAATAAAAGTGCCTTCTGACCCTCCCCCCACCACACCCATTCAATTAATTCTGGAAAAGCCCTAAGCTTATCTTCAGATTTTTGCAAACCACAAAATTAAATATCCTCGAAAATACAAATCTTCCCCATACCACGAAAATTGGTATCCACCAAAATAAATGAATCCACATTTTGGAGTCATGGAGTCATTTAGGAACAACAGAGATTGCTCTTAGGATTCATTTTTGTGGGTTTCAATATTTGGAATTTGGGGAAAATAGCATTTTCATAGATATTTAACAAAATTAGATTTTGGACAGTAAAATCCATGACTGACCTCCTCAAGCACTTCAATACAAGAAATATTTTCATTCACTTATTTTAACAATATACCGTACCTGCTGTGGGTTCTGTCAGCTGGAAATATTCTAACAACTTTATCATAACCAGCCGAAGCGAATTCTCGTCCTGTTGGTGAGTAATCCACATCCATCACTGAAAAAAAAAATACTTCGAATTTTATTCATTTATTTACCACTTAAAATGATGAGCCATTCAATTAAATTGACTCTGAATAATTTTTAATGTCCAAAAATCTTGCATCCATAACGAAAAGTTTGAAGGTCTTAAGAGTTTTTCTGTCAAGCATTTTAATAAATATTGTTAGCCAAATCAGTTACAAATTTACTTGTTAAACATGTTAAAAGTGTTATATCAGCTTTACCAAATGTTGAAAAATAGCTGAATTATAAAGGTTGCTGCAAATTTGGAATAATATATACATTGTACCAATATCCCTCAAATATTTGCTTCTGAAATAAGCTTTATTCTTAAAAGGTCCAGTAAATTAATCTTCCAATAAGACAGGGGAGGCAATTTGAAAGAATATATTGACAAGTTGTATTTTGATATTGTGCAAAAATTTCTTTCACTGTTTTCCTTCAAACTTTATAACTCTGTCACTGTCAAGTTTTGTAAACACATTTAAGGAATGACTGTAATATTTTTTCCGTCTATGAAGAAATAACATAAAAAATGTGGTGCACACTGAATAACCTGTGTAGCGTATTATTGAAAGTCTTCACCACATTTTTGAGGTTATTTGGAATAGACAGAAAAAATATTACAGTCATTGCTTATAATTTAATTCTTAATTCCATTTTTAAGGAGTAAATCATGAAAAATGCGCTCTGTACAGTTGGGGCAAGTATGACACAATATTCAAGCTTGATACAGCTCTGAATTTGGATAGTGATTAAATATTTGACACATTATAGATTTCTGACCAGTGATATTGTTGTCTTTTTTCAAAACTACCTCTACCGTGTTTTATTGGGAAAAATGCATATTTTTTATTGAAATTGGGAAATTTGTATATTTTATTCTTAACACATCTCCGATTTTTTGCTGACCTTTGCTGTCTTTTTTGCACTGTTTTTTCATGTATATTTTGGTTGTCAGACATTTTCAACCTGAAAGATACTTTTCGGAGAGGGGAAAGAAACAGAAGCAATGATGGTACTTAATGCATTGAAAACCACATGTGTTACAAACACCACGATGATTCTGATCAGAAAACCGGATCTCAAAAGTGCTTTCTAATATCAAAATACATGAATACAATATTTACAAACATTACTACCAATGCCATCACTGTTTGGGGAAAATGTAAAACTTTTTGGGAGGAATTTTAAGCCATTTTATTTAGTAATTGGGAATTTTCTCTCTGGGGGGAAAAAGCCGAATTTCGGCTGTAATTTGAGGCAAACAATATCACTGCTGACACAGAATAAAGCTGGTCAGATAACTTAAAAGTTTGAAATGGGACATTTAATCTACTTAATGGTCCAATATCCATAATCTAATTCAATGGTTAGATTCAGCATAAAAAAAAAATTAAAAAAAAAATGAATTCAAACAAAGTTTAATTTTGGACCCTTTGGACCTTAATATGGACTAATTTGAAAACAGGGCCGAAAATAAAAAATCTGAATGCACAGTTAGATTCAGCATATCATAGATCCACCAGAATTCAGATTTTGATGAAATCAAACAAAGTATAATTTTGGACCCTTTGGACCTCAATGTAGACCTATTTAAAAATGTCCAAATATCCAATATAGTATTACATGGTAAAAACCTCAAACAATTCAAGACTTTAAATTAATCTTCATTGAAATTGGTTAAAAGATTTGTATTTATTTTCAATTGAAGATTTCTTGCTGTTGTGCAATACTTTGCTGTTGCGCAATACTTAGTAAATCTGTTTACAAACTAAATATAATAATTTACACACCCTGTTTAGTGTGTATCTCCTGCCATATCACATTCACTTATACTAGAGTTATTATCCTGAAATCAAATGTCCTCGGACAAAGACAACGACATGATAGCAATATATGAACGCATATTTTTTGTGGTGGTATAAATAACGTTGATGACGTCACGGTCACATGACAAAATTATGTCTATGTCTGTATAGGGTTGTCTGAAATCTGAAATGATTTTCTCTTAGAAAATATCTTTTACTTCTAATTGGATGATGCTTTAGGTGATTATTGATTTTTTTTTTCTTTATTTATATGTTGATACTATATTCTATTACTAACCAGCAGAAACATGGTCCATGTGAACAGTAACTGGCATTGATAACTTTCTCATATCAAAGGAATATAAACTGAAAGATAAATATTTCACGTCTGAATATAGTTTTTCAATTTTAAAATTAAAAGTAAAATTTTTGTTTACATGTTTTCATAATGATTTTTCATTTAATTCAGAAGTTGTTGTGTTTATAATGTTCAAAGGGAGACAACTCTTGATATTTAACATAAATCATGTAACAAGTTTAATATATATATGATTCCATTTAAGTAGCAGCAAATAATTATTGTAAACATAGCAAACTGTTTTAAGGTCAAACTTACACAAAAAACAAATGAAAACAATAGGTACTTTCTTCAAAAAGATATCTTGAAGGCTGAAACATGACTTTTTAGTTTTGTGTAGAAAAGCTTCTGGCCTTTTAGATTTGCCTTTGTATTTTATTTGCTTTTGTATCTTATCATTATAAGCATTTGGTTAGTTGAGCAAATCGCCTTAGACAATATTTAATTTTAGCTCTACTGGGTAAATATGGAACAAGTATGAGGGTTTTGCTGATTGTTGAAGGCTGTACAGATACCAATAGTTGTTTCAATCATATCATTTGGATTTTGGTGAATAGTTGTCATTGAATTGGCAATCATACTATATCTCATTTTTTTTCCTTCTTTTTTTTAATAATTAGTTTGCCTGTTATGTTCTAAAAAATACCTACTTATAATCTTCATTGGCAACAGTAAATATAAAAGCTTCCATAGGATTCCAGGCTATTGTGTTAGATCTCAGTTTTAAAATTACCTACAATAGCATAAGATGAAATAAACAATGACTGGAAGTTCATCAGTTAGTAATTAAAAAAAAGTAGAAATGAAACACTTCAAGTAAAAAGAAACCTGTCTTTAGGTTTCTTATATTGTGCTGTTAGCCCACCACATTCTTTATATGCCTCTCTCAAGTCAGGAGCCTGTAGTTTAGTGGTTATTGTTGGTTCGTGTCTGTCATAATTCTTTTTGTAAATGTGTACTTATAACTTAGGCTGTTAGTTTTCTCTTTTGAAATGTTTCACATTTTTTCAGGTAGGTCCCTTTTATATTCACTTATTTGAACTCTGGTGGATAGTTGTCTCATTGGCAATCACTCCATATCTCATTATTTTTACATGATGGAACTGAGGAAATTGTTCAGATTAGACAAGGTGATTGGATTATGAATGGTTAAATTACTGATTTTTACTAGTACAATATATCAGATTAGACAGGTTTCCAGTTATGCATAGTTCAGTTAATCCAGGTTTCAATTTGAACTGGTTTCCTGTTAATTCAGCCTTTGGTCGAGAAAGGTTTCACTGTATAGACAATTTCTTCACATAAATTCAAAGGTTAGCAATGATTCTACTACATTTATGTACAATGTATTTATTTAAAATAGGTTATTTAATAGTTTTACTACACTTATGTATTTAAAATAGGTTTTTAATTACTTCATTTGTGTATTTAAAATTTGATTTGCAATGATTTTATTACATTTATATATTTAAAAATATTAGAAAAAAAAATGCAAGCATTATTTGAAAAATATCTAAACATAAATTGTATACTAACAGTGGATTTCACAGGGTAACCATTTATTTATACTACACTGAATAATCATCCTTTGTATGTGGAATTGTTGAAACAACTTATTTAAAAATAAAGGAAGTTTTTTCCCCAAAAACAACAAGGCTGGAATGAATAAGAACAAATAATCTGATTGGTTTTCATTTTAATACAACTACTGGTACTCACTTTTCTCAGAGGAGCTGATCCCCTCATGTCATACAGTATAATACTTCTGTCTGAAGCACAACTACCAACTATATTGGTCTGAAATTGTAAAAAAAAAATATATAAATCAAATTCATTGTAAATTATATTTTAAGTATGAGCTTATAATTATGAGCTTGAATAAAATATTAATTTTATCTATTCAATTTCTTATTTAAAAGTATGAGAGTTTTTATAAATGTACATTTATGATTTCCATTCCTTCACTTCAATCAATGAAGATCTGCTTTTTCACTTTTTCTTGATGTTCAACAGAACAGAGAAAAAAAAAAGCAGAGGTACATTATATGTTTTTCTTGCACTTTACTTCATTACTTAATTTTTTTTGACAAAAACTCTTTGTTACACACACTGCATACATGTATGTACTTAGAGCAACCAGTCAAGACACACTTGACTAGCTGTTTTTTTTTTACCTCAATAGGATTAAATTTGACTGCATGTAGACTGTCTACTCCCCAGGTAAAAGATCTGACTGGTTCAGTTCTGTCTTCATCCCATATATCTAACTGTTGTCCACAAGTGGCAAACATGTTCTGTGACCAATGATGGTCTATTGATGTGAATATTGTCTGAAATAAAGTTTTTTATTTCAATTACTGTCTGTTATCATTCATTGCAGTATCCAAACAAATATAAAAAAATAACCATTCTCTTTCATAAATCATCATCATTGATATTACAATGAAAATTGATGATGAGCTTATGAGCCTTTCTTTCTTGTTTCTAATTGCACAAATCTTGTACTTATTTTGTAGAAAAGATGTAAGAATACAATCAAAATCTTTTGTTGTGTAAGAAAGATCTAGACTGACAGTCGACCTTTTTCATATATAAATGTTTACACATAAACTTATTCATCTTATACATTGTAAAGAAATTGTATGACATTGCTTCCTTAATTGCCATAATGACAACTATATCCTGAGCTGAGCTGAGGAGCAGTCCATTTTGTAACTATAAAAAGCTTGTTTAGATTTACTCCTTTATGGGGTGGAAGCTGCAACACTTGGTGGTGTGGTATAGTAAGGAGAGAACATACAACAGAATTGTCTAAAGAAGACATGTGTTATTTGTCTGTACTTTGATGTTGACAATATTATAAGGATTGTCTCCCTTAGGAAAAGATCATAATTAGGAACCAATTTTGAATGTAAATTTTCACAAAATAATGTTTTGGGACAACTTCCATGATCAAGATTGTACATTCTGGACAATTAGTTAAAGTCATTTACATCTAAAAGAAATCCTGCTATTTGGCAGGTATATCTATCTTGCACCTTTTATATAGGATAAGTACAAATTTAAAAGTAAGTAAGTAATTATTTATTTCAATAACATAAATTGTTCAACACAATTCACAAAACATTAAATAGTACATGTATATATAATAACCCTGATAATAGTTTAACCAATTCCTAATTATACCTTTCCTAAAATAGTACTTTGAGGTTCCTCTTCTATCTGACCACAATCTGACAAACTCCATTGTTTAATTGTCTTGTCATTTCCAACCTGTAAAAGAGCAGACATCAAAAACCCAAACCATACATTAAGTCAATAATATAATGTTTTCAGAATTCTCATTTTTTAATTGAATACACAAGTTTTTCATATAGTACTAATGGACTTACCTTAGTAGTAACAATTAAACCATTTTTTAAACAAGTGGCTGAAATGCAGTGTTCTCCCCAGGATTTTTGGATAGCACCAGGGTAACGCGTGTCAAAAAGATTTGTACAATATGTTGTGTCGCGTTGCATTGCTTTTTTTTTCTTGTTAGTTTTTGTGTCATTACCTTTTTGTCTTTGTTTTTTTGTTTACTGTGTTATGTAGACTTTGGGTAAAAAAATTACTGGTAAAAAAAGAAGTAAATCAATAAACAGTTTGTATACTTTAATTTCTTTTAAGAATAAATAAAAGAAAGCACTATTAGTCTTTAAACTTAAGTCACTTTTTATATTTTGATCAAGCCAATTTGTCCTGATACTTGTAGTTACACTACACTTTCACCATTTTTGTTAGATTACACCATAACAATTAAATTTAAACAAGATTAAATTTTAATGCAGAACTTCTAGTAAATTAAAAACTATTTTCCATAGCTTTAGACATGATTCTTTTAAACAACAATACAATTATTATTAGAATCATTATTGTGTTACTTGGTAGATAGACATGTAAAGTAAATTTATATCATCTATATATCATATCAAGCTGAGTTCCAATCAGTGTCTAAAGACTGGGACTACTTTAACAGAAATCAGTTACCAACAAACAAATGGAAGTGTTTAACGACCTTGACTGGGTATACATCCCTTGCACGGTCGGCTCAGTGCCCGAAGGCGTTTGGTGAGCGTTTAAATAATTTTGTGCCATCGGTCAGGAACAGGTTGAGGATGCCATTTTGGTAGGCCGCCATCTTGGTTTTGTTAGATGTTTTGGTTTTTCTTTTGTTGACTATTTTGATGTTATGTCTTCACAACGGCTGCTTTCAGGACCAGGTTGGTCAGCTTGACAGCCAGCTAACCTCGATGGTGGAGTACTGGTAGATGAGTCTCGGACGTAGTATTAACGATGACAGGAAGCATTATCAGGACCAAAGTCGAGAGACAGTGAAATGGTGGTCCATCATCTAACACCTAGGATACAGCCCTCGGACGTCACTCGGCATACCACTCCCCCATCCATAATGGGTTTTGGATTGTATGTTGACGCGGGAATTAGCCCTACGTGGATAATAGCCTAACGTAGTCTGTACAGCGTTGGATTAGTTTCTGTCATCGAAAGTAGTAAGTCGTTGATCCATCTAACAGTAAACCCTCATCGAAGCGTCCGTTCAGTTGTAATGACTGAGACGTGACTGTGATTGAATGTCAGTTACCAATTAGAAAATACTACCTATTTATTATAATATGTCTGTGCATTAATAAAATTATGATTATCAAAAATAATTTGCAATATATTTTTGTTGGTATGTTCAAAGAAAGTTTTTATCCTTAAGGTAACATTCTTATATAATTTTGCATTCAATTTGTACTTTATTTCTATTTTCAATGATAGATGATATTTTAGGAGCACTTATTTGTAATAAGCTAATTCAGGGAAAGTAACTCCAACACATTTAAAATACGCAAATTATTTATAACCAAAGGCTGGAGTAATAGAGTTAATTAACAGATGTCTGCTTGTCCCTCACAAGTCTGATCATTAATTATGATCTCTTAATTAATTAAAACACAAAAGAATCATGTACATCGATTAAATCCAATCTGACATCAAGGTTAACCTCAAAAGGTAAATCGATCACGTGGTGTAAACAATCAAGTTGTTTGAACTGGTTTGAACTGGTCAATTTTCATCTGAAATTTTATACCCCACGGAAAAGGTTAAACAAGTCGTTTAAAACTTTACCGATTTACGATTTTTTTACAGAAAATTTTAGCACCACGGAGAAAAATTATACATCGCGGCAAGAACGATACCACCACGGTAGAAAATTATACATCGCGGGCCCGCTGTCCTTTAAGGGCCTGGGGAGAACACTGTGAAATGTCTAAAAAATGGTCAATTTATTATGACAATAATGTATCATGTCTCTTTTAAACTTATTCGTTACTTTCTTAGATTACCGGTAATTTAAAGTTTAACATATTGTATAGGCATTTGTCTATTGTTGAAGACAGTATGTTGAAATTATAGATATTTTTTTTTTGTGCTCTCGAATGGCATGTGTCAGATGAAACTGTCATAATGTAAGAATTACTTACACTGAAAAAATATCTACCAGATTGGTGCATACATAAACCTTGTACCATTCCCTCATGTGCCTGGATTGTCTGTAAACAGCTCCTCTTGGCTAAACTCCATACTTTAACCTACAACATTTCAATCAGTGGTAGAAAGAGTTTGTACTATAAGCATAAAATGTGTAACTTACAGTAAGTAATGATATGGGCACATAAGACAACAAGTACTTATTTTGCCATAACTTTATAACCTTTTGACTGTTGTAACAATTTACATACAACACTATTATAGCTTAATTAGTCAAAAAGGATATACTGGACATGTAACTCCTACAATCAGCTTATCCTTGCTGTCAGGTATGATAATCCATTAGCTACTTCTCACTAGGTAATATTTTCCTCAGCAATTTAGGGAAAATCATGTATTTTTTAGACAGCTGAAAATGACTTTGGCTACAAATATATTATCAACTGATTAAAAATGCATTTAAATAAATCTGAACACAGTAAACCTTAAACCTGGTAAAAAAAAATCTCATTATTAAGCAGTTCTCTAAACTCAGCAATTAAAAAAAAGGTCAAGAATAAAATAACACATAATCACAGAGTTCTCGAAAAGTGGTGGTCTGAAGGTTTTGGGTTTTGACCACCAAAATTTTCAAGAACTGACACAATATTGGTATTTTGCAATAGAAATAATAATAATGACCAGCAGATTTTCTTCAAGGACCACCAGGGAAAAAAAGAATTCGAGAACTCTGCTAATCATTCTACTGGGTCCTTCATCTTCTCTCTGAACCGACAAGGCCATGGAAAAAATGAATCTAACATGTGAAAATTATTAAGGCAAGGCAGGCAGGAAAAACTTTTTATTTTATTTTATTTTTTTGTGAAAATTCAGTTTCGCTATTTAGAGAATGTTGTTAACAGTAAATTCTTGTTTTATATTCTATCTTGTGGTATAAGCTATGTAAACTAAAGGAATGATAATTGAGCAATGTTGACACACATTTAACAGATTATCAGACAGTTTTAAAAAGCATCATTAAAAATTGTCAAAAGAAACCAAAGCAACATTTTTTTTTATCATCTCCAAGAAAAGAAGAAAGAAAAAAGAATTTATTGTTATACCTCTCCATCACAAGCTCCTGAAAGAAGCAGACTCAGTGCGGTTGGATGTTTACACAGACTTCTAACCCCATCTCTGTGTCCATCTAATGCTCCAAGGAAAGGTTTGGCAAACACACGCTCTAGTTTTGTGGCATTTAATGCTCGTACATATTCTCTTGGTGCTTCAAATGGATGGAGTTCAGGATCATAATTCCTTGGCACTACAAGATATTAAATTATATGTTTTACAACTGATTTTACAATATTTATAGTCTAAATTGATTCAATTCATAATCTCCATGGGGAGATTTCAAGTACTAGAGGATAAAGCTAAGTGCAAAAAATCTGAAAGTGATGAACATTTCAGTATGTAACTTAAATCTCCATCTGCTGCTAAGTCAAGGACAAATCCTTATCTGAATTAGAACTAATCCCCTTGTTAACCTTCAATTGTTTAATATAATGTAATAATCAATCTAAATACAATCATGACAATGGTTTGCAATCACTAGATGATTAATTGGCTTTGATTATTCCGGTAAACAGGTGCAAAAAAGGCAAACAAATTTTGATTTCTTTTAGTTTTATCTCATTGGCGTAAGCCTATCACATGATCAGTTCATACCTGCCAACTTTTGAAAATCCCCATGGGGGCTTTTTGTGCGAGACAACAATTTCAAAGGTTACAATTCTTTGCGGCGTTTTTTGCACGTGCTGTTTTGTTGTATAGAAAAAGTGTCATATTTGTATGATGAGCTTACAAGACTTTTTCTTCTGTTTATTTGCATGATTAAAAAAAAAAAATTACAAGAATCATGTTTTGGATATTTTTTAACTGCTGAAGAATAAATGTGATGATGATAGGACCCAGCTAGTGTTATCAGGATGAGATGTGCAGAAACACTGGTTTATATGATTCAAGCATCACCAATGAGTCTTTTGGTATCTATGATGAGTTTATTGATATGGTGCTTCCAGACAGAAAATCATGTTTCCAGGACACAAGTAAGGGTCTTTACAAGAACCCTGTGAGTACAGACAAACCTGTGCACTTGGAAAAGTTTTAAAGCATGATATGATGACCTACATGTGATATAAAAGTTAAGCATGTTCGCTCCTCTTGTTTTTGAATTTTTGTCAGATATTGGGAATCCTCTGGTTTAATCCATGTAGTGGCATTAAAAAAATTTGCCCGCTAACCCCTACTGGATGCAAGCTTATATTATACTGGAGTCAAATATGCTGGCTTATCTAGCTTGACTGGTTACATTTACTGGAGTCAAATATGCCAGCTTATCTAGTTTGACTGGTTACATTTACTGGAGTGAAATATGCCAGCTTATCTAGCTTGACTGGTTACATTTACTGGAGTGAAATATGCCGGCTTATCTAGCAGTTTGACGGGCTACATTTACAGGTGATATGATCTTACCACCCTTGAACAAAAAACATAAGAATGGTAATTAATGTTAAAATCGGCTTGTAATGTTTGTGCAAATAATTCATCACATTTGTGCAAAATTTATCTGTTGAAAAGTTACCACGTTTGCGCTCATTAACAAGATTAATTAAATTTTTTAATAAAAAATAAATAGAATTTTGTCAACTTAAATATCAGTCAGGGGACTTACTTAAATGAGTGATTAAGAAATCACTGATTCAAGTAACATTTTACACAGAAATGTTGGAAGTAAGAGTTGTCTTTCTTTAATAATCACCTATTTAACATGTTTAAGTAGTACAAATAGATCACTAGACTAAGTGATTTACTTTTATTGTAGCTTTAAATATATAAAACTAATGATCCAGGAACTAATTATGTTGCTAAAATTATCAGAACCAACATCTGTGTTTATAGGATGACCGGTCATGTCAGGTGATTACCTTATACTGAATCTGGGATAATGACATGGAAATCACTTGTTTAAGTATCATACCTCTAGTTTATTACTTTAAGTATTATTATTTTAAATACCCCGCCTGATTTCAATAATTAATAAATCAATTATTTCAGTAATCCTGGACTGAATATAGAAAGTAGTTTAAACACAACCAGGATCTATGAATGTCAGTTCCTCCATTGGGAAAGTTTAGGGCAGTATTGTAGATGATTTAATGGTGAACACTACTGAGAATGAAAGCTGCAAACTATTTGCCAACTCATGTACATGCACTTACATGAAGTTGAAAATTATGTCACCAGTGAGTCTATAATTATAATAATACCACAAAGCATGTGGACGACTATTCCAAATAAAAGCCCAAAACGTACCATCAGTCAGGGGTACTACTTGTACAAGTAATCTTTATTTACTTGAAGAAGTAAATAAAATAAACTTATATAAGTTAATTATAATGTTTGAATAATCTCCCCTTAATTTTCTCAAAAATTTACTTGTATAAGTAAATTTTTTTTACAATCCCACAAAAATTCTCAAGTTTTGAGATGTAAAAACATGCCTTTAACAATTTTTCTCAGGTTAGCTCATAATTTTTTATTAGAGTTCAATGTTTCATCTCATTAATTCAACAAAGAAACTGATTGCGCAAAGATCTTAAGTATTTGCGCAAGGCCTTCAAAAATTGCCCCTTGGGGGCTTGTAAATGAGCAGTGTTCTGAAGATAACAGACAAATGAGATTTTCATTGTCCATATGCATGAAATTACACTTAAATGATTAGTAAAGACATCTGCAAAGGACAGACAATAAAAAATTCTATTAGAGGAAAGAAGTCCTAAGAATTCAAGAAAAGAAGATAGGATGACTTTTTTACTTGTATAAGTAAAAAATCTGAATGTCTAAGGGACATAACTAAGCCCATTTTTTTTTACCTATACAAGTAAATAAAATACACTTGTATAAGTATCCTACAAATTTACTTATATAAGTATATTAATATTTACTTCTTCAAGTAAATAAAAATTACTTGTACAAGTAGTACCCCTGACTGACCATCAATGGCTTAGAGTCTTTTCACAGTAAGGACGGACTTACATATCATTCCTGACGAGATTACATACTGTGTTTAATAAAGTAAACTTTTAATAAAGTGCTCCAATGACAATGACCACATGTTCATGATGTTCTTTCATTTTTGTTTTACACCAATTTATAGTAGGTGTTTCCAGCTTTCAGTTTCATTTACGATTTTATCATTGATAAAATGACAAAGTTTTGCACCTCAAAATAGGATCTGACAGGTAACTCACTGTAAACAGACATATATTTAAAGATGTAAATAAAAATGAAATTGAATCTTCAATCAGGCCATAATGTTGCTGGCGAAATGACGACTTAAGTCGCAAAAGAATTTTGAAAATCGCTAAATCTTGCCAGCCGTCTGACTTCATGGCGAAGTGAAATCGGTAAAAGGGAGACAACTTGTGAATAACAAGTTTCCCCAGGTAAAAAAAAAAATGGCGATTGACAAGGGAAATCGAGATTTTCGGAACGACCCAGGACTAATACTGTCAACGATCAAATTAAATAAATACAACTGCGACTTTGAACATCCTCGGACAGAACATTCAGTACTATTCAAACAGAAAACTGACTGCCTGTTAAAGTTATCATTTTACGATGATTTTTATCTGAGGATATTGCGTAATCACTCAGCTGATTTGTTTTATTTTTATTTATTACGAGTCGATCAAATTGTACGATTCGGTAGGTTAAGGGTGGGAATTAACGGTAGATTTATTATATTCATTGAATAAAAATTGAAATATAAAAGGTAGAAAGACAGCTGATGGACAATGTGATTGCAAACGTACGACACTCGACCAGCTGTGATCAGCAGTGGATTTTTTTTTTCACGACCATTTCGTTGCTAGGGAAGACATCTTTAAAAAATGATAGAAATTAGCTCTATATCAGTTAATTAATGTACACAAAATGTATGTGATTGACAGATATTTTCATTTATAGGCTTACAATCTTTAGCGAGAATCTCAATTTACAACTACATGTAACATGAAGTCCTGGACATTCAATAATGTTTTATAAAATAATGACAAGTGGTGATATAAATTAGATTCCCAGTCATGTGAAATTCATCAGGTAAACTGGGAGTCATATTTTTCTGGACATTTAAAAATAAATTGAGGCAGATGCACATGAATTTAATGCATCATAATATTACTAGGCTACTCCCTCATGAGTCATGTCCCAAGCAACAAATTTTATTTAACTTCAATTCAAGTTGACAGTACAAATGGTATCAATGAATAAATAACAACTATATTGTCTAAACCTTTTTATTAAGAACTTGCTAACGGCTATATACAAATTTGTACAATAACATGAAAAAACTGCAAGTATATTTTTTATTGCATGTCACTCAGTAACCGGAGAGCATGATTCTACTTGAAAAATCGCATGTCTCCACCGGGACTCCAACCCGGGACCTCTGTGTTACAAGGCAGCGCGTATACCGACTGAGCTAAAGAAGTACTTCCTTAGCTCAACCGCTTACGGCTGACTAAGTATCTACTAATGAAGGGAAGCAATCCCGTCACACATGTAAAACAATTTCCTTAGTGATAAGCACGAGAACACTATGCAACCAAAAAAGTAATGGAATCTCACTTCTTCAAGAAATTGACCACTTCTCCCTTCTCTCTCATGGAAGGAGAAGTCACTTCTCCCTCTCCAAAACCCTAGATTAGGCCCGGTCTTCAATTATTTTTTTAATTTTCTGAAACAAAAATCGCATTCAAATTTTAAATCTCTGTACCCTGTCATGCATTAAAACGTGTCCAGTTGCACAGATTTTCTGTTATCAGAATATATAGTGTGGTGTAAACATAGGCTCGTTTTGCACGGGTACAAGTTAAATCGGCACCTGGTCAATTCGGCACCTATAGAAAAAGTCAAATCGGCACCTGGTAAAATCGGCATCGGTCAAATCGGCACCTATTTAAAGTCATTTCGGCATTTGGTTGGTCAATGTAGTTAACTTTTTCTATTTCCTTTTTATTTCAGGTATCATATGGAGAGAATAGTTTTTCGGCTTTTTTATTATTTTTTTTGAAAAACGTACGATTGCAGAGGTTAATTAAAAAAGATACATTTCCTTCATCGTTAAATCAGTGCATGTAATTAAACAGTTAGAATCAACTAATTAACTAAGTTTGAATGGGTATCATTAAAAAAATAATATGGAATAACCCGTTTGTTGTTTTAACCATTTTCAGGTTGTTCTTAAAGTTTTATAATCAAAATAACTTAGATTACCAATAAACAAAGAGGCCATTACCCAAGCTATTGTCTAATCCACATATGAGGACAAAAACAAATTTAATCATTGTAATTTAAATTGTTTTTTTTCTGCATTTCCTGTCTACTTATACAAAATGAATAACGCTGGCACCAACTTTGTATGTTTACTAGCAATGTACAGTTGTCGTGAAATTGAAGTTCCTTTATAATATAAGTTCCAGTAGGAGCAGATAATAAGGCATTGTTAATAACAAAGTTTCCGTTGGACATCTGTTTTGCATGACAAATATACGTTGACACCTCGAACAAAAATATCTCTAAAAATATGGAAAAACTGACTCTTCAATAGTTTACTTGCAAAACATAATAATAATAATCATGGGTGCCGAATTAACAATTTCCCGATTTGACTAGGTGCCGAATTGACTATACCGGGTGCCGATTTCACCAGGTGCCGATTTAGCCAGATGCCGAAGTGACTAGAATTCGCCAAGTGCAGGGTTATAACTTATGATGCACCTTTATAAAATACGACTTTTATGCTAACCTTTATGAATATCTCTTTTTGTTTCACGTAAATAGTCATCAGGATTACGACTTAAAACCTTAATTTTCATAATCAGTCTTGTTTTATCCCATTAAACAACAGACTGAATTTGAGTGAAGAGAAAAACGTGCTTGTGTTTTCATTCTTGAAATTCTAAGGGACGTAATTTATAACAGGGTCGATACAAAACTACAACTTCGGACCCGTGCAAGTTCCCAAAATTTACGACCACGTATAAACCTGCACCATTTATTAATAAAGCCACTGTGCCATTATAAACATAAAGTTTTAATAACAGATTAAATTAATCATATCGAACACAAGCAGTAAATTAAAAAAATCCATATTACATTGATTATGAGATTTTTTTTCAACATTAAAGTTAAAAACGAAATAGATAATCGGACTAGGGAGAGGGTCTAGCGGGTGATGCATAAGAATAACAGTTTGTCATCTACTAAATAACTTGCATTGTAAAAATAAATGTTTAAAAATAAGTCTACACACAATATTTATCAATACAAATTCACCAACATAAATATATGACAAATAATCAGTATAATTTTTTGGGGTCATTTTTCACATTCTTTATACTTTTTACACATTATTCTCTGTTCTTTAAATTTTAGCACCCCATTATTTCCTATTCTTCATTTTTTTGTCCCATTTTTCTCTAATCTTTATATTGTTTGCCCATTATTCTGTACGTTTTGTCAATTATTCACTATTCTGTAAAACACATCCAGACCCTCATAAAGCATTACAACTTAAGTGTAATTTTGTTGCTATTTTGCACTCCTGAAACATTTGATATTGGTTTTCACTAGCTAGACAATTTGAATCATTTATTTGGCCTGTCAGGCCGATTTTTCAATTAATTTCTACATTTAAAGCAGGACCAATCAATGTTATATATCTTTATTTCTCAACAAACCATATACAGTGGAATGGTACAGAGAACACAATATTTGGAACAAATCAACATATAGGAGAACAATGTCAGTACGGATCACGCAACCCTTTATTAATAATTTTGATAAATTTGCAGTTTCGAAAGTATCGCTTTTCTTTTACAGGTTATAATATCTCCAAATTTAAGTGTATTTGGACGTTTTGAAAAAAAAATCTGGAATTGATAAATTTCGTGTGTTGGCAAATTTCCTGCATGCCATTATGCATTGAAGTCGCAAAATGAGTAAATTATATTTTCACGTTGGTTATTTTGCCATCTTCCCAGTTCAATGGGTAGCTTGTGATTTATTGTACTAAACTTGCAGAGTTCAATTATTTCGTTGGTTTCTAAAATATTAAAATAACTCTCAAATTCAAGTTTTTGTTTGAATAGCCGGTAACAAAGTGATTTTTACGAGTTTTCCATTTCACTATGCCAATTTTGTTCATATATTGATCTTTCATACTTTGGACAAAAGTTTTTACCAACCATCCCTTGTTAATAAAAGTTTGTGTGTTCCATACATATACCAAATCCACAATTATTGAGTGTACCCGTTAGACTCAATAACCATGGAGACCCTACATTATTGACAATATTCAATTGATAACAAGTTTGTATGTTATAGAGCGGCCAATTTCGAACTTTAACCCTTGATTAATTTCGTCCAAATTGATACAATTCTTGTTTTTATTTGTTTTTTCGAGAGGAAACCTTCCAAGTTCGCCATATACCATAAAGGACGGTGTTGATGATTTAAGTTGAAAAAGCATCTTACAAAACTTTAAGTCGACCCTTTCAATAATATCGTTGTTACCTGTTCCCCATATTTCGCAACCGTACAAACGAGCACGACCCCTTTATAAAATAAGTCTAACTGTTATTGTATAGATTTATGAATTACTAAGTTCAGGATTTGTTACAGAGACCATCTCTTCAAAAATTTTATGTACTTTATCTTCACATATATTATTACAAAAATCTTGACCTTTGTCAGTTTTGGTCCCGCTGTTTTATTTTTTCTTGATTGGTTTTGCTGAGATTCTGTCTCGTTTTCCTTGTCAACAAATTAAGTAATTTCTATTGACGAGTGCACGTGGGAATAAAGGCTACTAGAATCAAAAACTTCAAAATCTTTAAAAAATCTCAATAAAAAGTAAAATTACAAAAATACAGAACTCCGAGGAAAATTCTAAACGGAAAGTCCCTCAGTAAATGGCAAATTCAAAAGCTCAAACACATCAAACGAATAGATAACAACTGTCATATTCCTGACTTGGTACAGGCATTTTCTTATGTAGAAAATGGTGGATTAAACCTTGTTTTATAGCTAGCTAATTTAACCTCTCACTTGTATGACAGTCGCATAAAATTCCATTATATTGACAACAATGTGTGAACAAAACAAACTGACATAATAGGTAAAAATGTCAAAAATAGGGGTACAGCAGTCAACATTGTGTTATAATCTTAATCTCTACAAAAACAAGCAAATATGTCAACAAAGACAAACAAAAAGGCATATAGAAAAAGCACATTAGCAAAAACGAAAGACAAGAATACTAAAATTTACCATAGCACAACAACACAATGACGGGATGTACAAGTACTGAGCCACGTCAAATGAATCACTACAAAATGAATCAAATATGCCAAAAAAAAAAAACGAAAAAAAAAAAAAAGCATATTGACAAAGCACATTAGCAACAACGGAAGAGAAGAAAACAAAAATTTACCATAGCACAATAACACAACGATGGGATGTACAAGTACCGAGCCACGTCAAATGGATATTACCAAAAATAGACTAAACAGTAAAAGTAATAATTTACAAACACAAATAAAAGAATAATATAACACGTTATTAAGATGATAAACAACAATAAGTTACAATTACTTTTAAAAACAAAAATCAACTGTATACTTGCATTCTTACAAGTAAGTTTCCCGATATCCCTAACTGAACCAATTCTACCATTTAAAATGAAAAAAAATTACATTTGGATAGGATCATTTAACATAATTCTTTGAAAAATTATCCCTGATTGGAAACCACCTGATCTTAACTTTCTTCAAATGCAGTTCAATGCAGTTATGACATGATTTCCTTGAACATTTGGGAACCAAAAAATCGCGTTAATTCGACTACAACAAATGAAAAATCAAGTTAGAATACCGAACTATCACAAGATATTTTGTTTCTTTCTCTTAAGTTGAATACCGTTACTGAAAATAATCACGAAGAGAATTTGAGGATATTTCAACCCAAAATAGCCGAGATATGGAAAACAAATATTATCAAAATAGAAATTTATTCTGAAACATGTAGGAGGATAGGAGGGTAAGGATGGAGGGGGGGGGGGGGGGGGGGGGGGGAGGTCTTTAATTTCTATATCTTTAAACATAACGTTTTTTTTCTGTAAAGAGAATGTTTTTAGTACTACGATTAAAATTTTCTATAAGACGATTTCTTCGTGTATTCTGAACACACTTCATTTCTGTAATCAGTATTTCATTACCGTATTTTTTTTATTTTCCAGTTATTCTTTATACTTTGGCACCCCATTATTCTCTAATCTTTATATTTTTTGCTCATTTTTCTATTCATTATTTTATTTGGCCATTATTCTCTATTCTGTAAACCCCATCCAACCCCTCATGTAGCGTTAACTAACCAGTAGTCACTATATAACCTGTTGATAGTGTATTACACATGCTACATGACAAAATTTCATTTTTTAAGATACATTGGAAATAATGATGAACGTGAAACGAAACGTTTGAGTGACAATAACATTACAGTTTAGTTTTAAATAATGTGAAAATGGAACAAGAAATACACTCGGTCTTTTTTCTTTGGTGACGATTTAAAGCGTGACAACAAAATGCAAAGTATTGAGGATACGGTAAAGGACATATATACAAGGTCGTATTCGGTGCCACAGTAAACCTGTAGACACTAGAAATGGTAAAGCTAAGTCTAAAAGAGAGTTCAAATATCACAGGAAATTAGGAATGTCGTAATGTTGAAGTTTAAAATGCCAATAACAAAATACAACAAATATTATAGAAAAGATAATGACTCTCAAAACCCCACAGAGAGAGATAAACATTGATCGTTAGAAGCTTCATCATTAAAGGAAAAGATTCAAGCAAATTTGAGTAAAGATGCTCGCACTGTATGAGGAGCAACAGTCCCGATTTAAGATAACAGATTAATTAGGAAGGCTTATATGCAACAATGCAAACTTGTCATTATAGTCGCTGGTTTTAACGATGCCTAGTCAAAAATACATTCCGAAAGTTTTTGAGAAAGTTACATCAACCCGAGTATAGATATTGTCTTATCAGAAATTAGCCCCAGAAGAAATATATAATTATATATATGTATTGAACATCTCAAGAGGCAATGAGCCCGTTTCCACTTATTTTTTACCAGACATGTTTTACACCCCATTTCATAAAGTTGAATGAATGGAGTATGACTTTGATCATGCTCAGTGCCGCATCCAGAGGGGCCTACAGGGCGCACGCCAACTTTGATAGCCCCAAAACAATCTCCTGATTCTCACAATCAAAATATTTTTTTTGCAGAAAATCGTCCAAAACATTTTTGCTTCGTTACGCTCGGCAGTTTATATACGTTTTCTTTTTTTTTAAGCTCCTAGATCCGTCCCTAAATTGCAGAAGACAAATGATCTGAACTTTTTGAACAAGTTCTTAACAAACATGCATCAATGAAAATCAAAACGGAGGGAAATCATTAAGACAAGCAGAATGGTTCAATGAAAAAATTCAAATGCCATTCAATATATAACATTTGTATAAAGAGTATTAAAAACATGACCGTGTCAGCTTTGAAAAAGTGGAGAAATAAAACAAAGTCATTATTATTTAATGTAAAGAAAGAATAGTATCAAATCGCTATATCTAGTTAAAAACAGTAAGCAACTTTGGAATCATAAAAAAATAAGGCGACAGTAGTTTTTAATGTTAAAATCTCGTAAATCTATTAGAAAGAGGCAACAAACAAAAACCGAGGGAAGCACGAACTTCCCAAGGAGAGAGACCTATAGTCAGGTGCGTCGACAGGGTACGCCTCTTGCTATGTATGCATCACCCGCCATGCGAATTCACACTCAGTCAAAGTGTAACCGTCGGTAAAATTAAAAATAAATACACCGGCATCTGAATTAGTAAAACATTGTGA